CAGTGTTTTCAGGATTACCACACCAAACTCAACTTTTAGCAGTTCGAGTGAGTAAAAAAATATTATTTATCATAATTATATTAAAAAATATATATAGTTTTGTTCTTCGTTTCATTATGAATATTTCTGTGAAAATTTTATCTCAATATACCTATTTTTGAGAGAGTTACTAAGTTTTTCATGGATAAGAGAATTTTTCTGATTAATAATTAAATACCCCGTCGGTTTGGCGGTAGGAAAAGATTTAAATACTATCCGTCGCGGAAAGGTTAATCGGCGTAACTAGTTTCATGGGTGCCCAAACTCTATCAGAATATTGTACTATACTTCCCTTCTAACTGCAGCATAGGATTTTTTGAAGTTACGTTATGTCAAAATCCATTATTATTTTTTATTATTATTATTAGACGGGGTGGGTTTCCCCATGTACTTAGACCAGTTATTGGTCCATTGTGCGTCCCCCTTTAATTTCTACTGTCGCCATACCTTACCGGTACTGGTACGTGCTATCAACCCCGTTCAGCCAATGAGGTCGGCCCTCGGTACCTGATATTTCCCCCTTCTACCAGAGGCAATGGAAACTACTTCGGTGGGAAACTTGTTGCCTAATTTTGCTCAGAGGTCTCCTAGAGACATGAGGATCTTTTACGTGGCGTAAATCTATGACATGGGACCCATGGCTTAAAGTCCCTCCCGGAGGACTTGTTCCCTGAATTTTTCCGCCCTTAAAAATTCCACAACCTCCGCCGGGTTTGAACCTGCGTACCTTGAGTCATGAGGTGGGAATGTTACCCCTAGACTACGGAGGCCGCTTATGTCAAAAACCATGCTGATGATCCCCAGTAATTTCGTCTACATATGGACTTAACTTTGAGAGATGGATAACAGATAAAATTTTGTATGAAACTAATAACAGTGATAGCCCAAAATAATTAAACAGAGTCGATTTGATCACCCTTCTTGTAAACTGGTACAATAATAGACACCCTCCCCTGATCAGGCCATTTGTCCTTATTCCAAACAGAATTAATGAGTCTATGGATTTCTAACCGCAGTGTTTCACCTCCTGCTTGAATAAGTTCTGCTAGAATTTGATCGCTACCTGGCGATTTATACCGTTTCAATTTTGCAATAGCACTTTCAACCTCGAAAGGGCTAGGATCAGGTATTAATGGCTCAGCTGTATGGATTTTTGTCTGCCTAACATCACAGACCCTATGTACCTTCAATAACTGAGAGAAGAAGTTCCTCCACCTATTCAAAATGTTGTGGGAATCTGCAAGCAGATCACCATTCTCATCCTTCACTAAGTTACTGCTAGGTTGGTAACCCCTCTTAAAGTCATTTATTCCTCTATACAGGTCCCTAATGTTCTTGTTCCTACTGTTCATTGCAAGCTCATGAATTTTGTGTTTCAGATATTACCTCTTTATATTCCTGAAATTCCTGTTGGTTTAATGTCTTACATTGTTAAGATTATCAGATTCTGTGACCACTGCAATTTGGCCTGTTCCTTTTGATATATTAATTTTGAGCATTCTTCATCAAACCATGGTTTATGCTTCTTCACTTCATAGTAACCCAGATTCTCTTTGGCTGAATTTTGATGTTCTCATACACTACTTATTATTATCACAATATGACCAATCAGAATTACTGATTCAACTGTTGTAATTGGTCATTAAGCTCAATTAGTTAATATAACAATTATAGTCATTACTTAAAAAAAGTAAATGGTGAAGATAAAAACTGTGTTTACTGAGTAACATGCTATGGAGAGAGAGAGATGCACGTGCGCGCGCGCGCGCGCGCACACACACACACACACACACACACACAGAATTTCCAACCTGAATGAAGGTGAGTGGTCAGTTTCATACCCTGAACATTTAACCCCAGAGAAATAGCCCCCAGTACTTAGTGGATAAGAGATTTGGTACTAAAAAGTTACCAATCCTAAACTGCATTCAGTTTCATGTACTGAGGGTTTGTGATTAACTGTACCAAGTTCTCAAGAGAGTAGGATTCCTTATTTTATCCTGTCACCTGATGGAAACAGAACCAGTTTTTTAAATAGTGGTTCAAAGCAAGTGAAGTCATGGACAATTCCAAAATAAAAAGCAAAGTAAAAGTAAAGCTATCCCTGTAACAGGCCGTCAAGGCCCATAGGCTTGTGAGACATTGAGGGTCCCACATTATCTAGACAACTGGCTCAAAGACGGCGGTAAGGTTGACAGCCTTACACGCTGGCCGCGCTTTACTCCCCAGGAAAATTATTTAATTAATTCCTGGTACTCATTTCTGTTAGAGACTGAGTCGGCCCCAGGGCCATAGTGCGGCCAGAAGGATTAGGTCAACTGAAAAAAAATCCAATGACCTCATCTGGACTTGAATCCACGACCTTCCGGCTTGTAGCATAGTGCCTCAACCAACTACGCTACTGTGTGCCCCACCTGGACAATTCCAAAATAGCAGTAAAAATATCCACCACCGTAGAAACATTCAGAATTAGCTATTATTTTGGACTCTGTCCACTGTCCAAGTTTATTAAAACAACTAAGTTTCAGAAATTGGTTCTATTTCAGTCTTTAGGCAAACAGGATATCTGACTCCTGCATACAGATACTCTCAAACTATGGACCTCTTGAACGCAGCTCTACAGAGGAGCCCATCAGAGTAGGTTTTCCTTCTTAGCCTACCACCAGAGGACAGAAATTGAAGTTTTAACAAACTTGGATGTGTACAAAGTCCAAATTATAAGATTTCAACATGTGTCATACCACCATGAAGCAATTTTGAGCTTAATTTAGTGCCTCACCCTGTCCAGTCTGGTTTCCAGGTTCTGTTTCATCTGGGTGAAGGCCTCTGACTGCTGACTGCTCTGTTCATTCAGTCTCTGCAGTTCCTTTTGCTGCTGACCAATAGTTTTCTCAAGTGCTTCCAGCTGCACCAAGTAGATTTCATGTGAATGATCTGCTTCTAGTCTTTGGTTCTCAGCTTCAAGTCTGCCAACAGTATAAAAATTGAGATATACAGCTGATTTATCTGAAGAAATGATCTCTGTATCTGCACACAGAACTTCATATTAATTACCCTCAATTTTTAGGTAATTCCATTCAGCAGAAAGACTTCAAGGGAACAAGAGGAGGAAGAAGATCCACTTTAATATTGTCACCTTATTAATACAAAAATGGTCTCTAACCATCAGCTGTTTGAGCCAAAATTTTGTATTAATTTTTCATTCCTCTTACACACACTACAAGCTCCATCTATCTCATTTGCTTTGTTCTAATCACCCTAACAATATTTGGTGAATGATAACAAATATGAAACTACTCTTCATGTAATATTCTTGAGTGCTTTGCTACGTCCACCATCTTAGGTCCAAATATTCTTCTCAGTCTATGTTCTTCCCTCAGAATGAAACCAACCTTCACACCCATACAAACCAAGTAAAATGAGTTTTCTACCTTCTGGGATATAAGGCTGTGTAGTCTGGTAAAAGTCAATATGGGACTGTATCACAGAAGACAGAACTCTTCATAACCATTGTTGTTAGGATATCAAACCCAATGAGCAAAATCAGGATGTAATACTTGTGCATACAGAATGCATATAAAAATGCAATGAATATGTTAAAATGTTATGAGTGCATCAGCACGAAGTCTCTTGACTTAGCATTGTAATCCACGATCAAAACCTCTGCAGATTATGAACAGTACTGTACTATGGTTTTATTGTTTTATGAAGGTCAGATAAGCTGCAGAAATGATGGATTCAAGGCTCTCAGGGGAGTGTACAGTCTTCCAGAATGTAACACTGTGTAGTTCAGAAAAAGTCTGACATTTTGGAGGAACATATCACTTCCACTTTCAGGGTTATTGGGGGGGGGNTCCACGAAAACGCCAGGCTTTCTCAGAAATACACAGCGTCATATCCAAGAATACTGCATTCTTTAAGATGTGGAAAATTAGACACACATTAGAAAGAAGGTTCAAACAAAACAGATAAATGCTGTCTTTCTCTCCGAGTCTGTAGCTTGTAGTTTATTGGATAATGGTAATTCTAATACACTGTTAACCCTCCTCCAACGTGGGTTATGTGTTCTTCAAAAGCTGGGTGTTCAGTGAGTTCTCACTGAGCAAACTTGATACTGTGTGAGATCAATTGGGATGGGGGAACATGACAGTGGAAAGTCAGAAGTAAAGAAACACTAAAATCATAAATATACATACTATAATTATATTTATTTAACAACAAAACATGTAATATAATTGAAAAGTTAATCCTTAAAATATAACATAAGCGAAAACTTAAACGTTAAAATGAAATACCAATGGAATCTTTAGTACTAGATCAAATATTAGCATAAAGTTATGCATCAAACAAACTTCATATGCCACTACAGCACATTTGGCAGACTTCATACAATCAAATTTTCCATGTCAGGCAAACAAATAATCGCATTTATTGTCAAACATAGAACTAAATTCATGTTGGAGGGTGTGCTGTGGCATGTATGATTGATTGAATAATTCTAATTTGTGAACTGTAAAGACATGGAAGGAAGTGATTATGGTCTAATATAGGATGATATCCTGCAATCTGCCTGGGGGGGACAGAGGAAAACCACAAAGGACCTCAGTACGGAGAGACGGTGTCTCAGCCAAAATTCAAACTGGGCATCTCCCAAATACAAGTTAGATGTACTATTATCTGAAGAAGCTTGCTGGGTTTCTCCTTAACAAGCCATCTTGATTACTTTCTGTGTATATAGCCATGGTACCAAGCTGGATGTCATCTTATTTAACATACCTTGTATTTTTAAGTCACAAACTCAAGTACTCTCAGGACACACATTTTATTTACTTATGATTTATTCAAAGGAGTCTGGATAGCTCAGTTGGTAAGGCAATAGGGTACAGCCAGAAGGACAAGACAAAAGGCTCAGTTAAAATGGTTGCTCTCTGAACCCAGGACCTCCTGAGCACAAAGCAGGAGCATTATCCACTTGAGTGGAATGACTGACAGTGCTGAATTAGTTAAGTACTATGCCATGAAACTGTAAATTGTAATATATATAAATGTAGGGAGTCAATTTCATGTCACTGTGAAGTTTTCATTTTGCATTCATTCTTGACCTTGTGAAAACCACTGAATGGTGCATATTTTATTTCGCTGGGAATACTGAAACATGACATAAGATAAATTTTGAAATTGAGAAACAACAGATCATAACATTACCATGTTTATTTCTTACTATAGGATCTATTATGATCAACAGGTTATGTTGAACTTCCCTTGAATGTGGCTATAAGAAGTGACAGAACACAATACGTTGCTTACAATTAATTACCTGCTTATTTCCGAATGAAGTACAGAAACTTGTTCTTTAAATAGGGACAGTTCCTGAATTACAGTCTTATAAGCTGGATGATTGAAAAGTGATGTTGATAGGCCATTTGGAGGATGACTTTTTGAAGTACCATCAGACTCTGGCAACTGCATGTTTATCTCCCTTAATAGTTCATCCTCAGCAGAAACTTTTGGCACTGTATAATCATCAACCTCTGTTCTGATGTCTGTTTCCATTTCTGCACCACTATCAGGTAAATCTTGTGAAGATGTTTCAGAAAACTTATCACAGTCTGAACGTACATTATTAACAGTAGAACTGTCTGAACTTGATGAGTCAATATCATCATTAGTTTCAGAGTCATCAGCTGTTTTACTAGCTTCACTAACTTCATATTCTCGCACTTCTTTATCAGTCTTGTCTGGTATATCATGGATCTGAATGTCCATTTCATTTGCATTATTATTACTTACAAGCTGTGCAAAACCTGACGTTGGAAAACATTCCACATTTCCATTATCAATGGAATTAAATTTTCTTGTAATATTTGATTCGGACATTCTAATACACAATAAATTTTTTATATATGATACAACATACTATTTTCTTCAAAATACAAACTGGCATAGTTGGTTAAAACGTTGGCACAATTGTTTGAAACACTGTTTACTGTTTTCAAGGCTTCATTGCACGATATTCACCAAAACCATAGAACGAATAAAACTTATTTAGATCATCAGATGGCAAACTTTGGTCGAAAGTTCACTCCACTTAACCCGAATTATCTTCTTCACTATGATTCAAACACAGCAGCCAGAAATTTACGTTACTAAGTGATCACGCTACAATATTTATGACATTCTACCTCATTAAAATACAGATAAAACAATCTCAAATTTAGTAACTATAAGCTATCATGTATTTTCGGCACAAATTTCATGTCAACTCTTCTGCTGTCACAGCATCCTGTCACTGCCTGCCATATTCCCTTATCTTGGGTTGCACACGTTATGCACGGCCCACGAAGGTCGTACATGATATAATTACGTTTTAGAACTACTAAAACCTTCTAGAAGCATATGCTAAATCCAAAAACACCATCATATTTGAAAATAAAGCGTGTATCACTGAAAACAGTTAACAGCTGTCACCACGGATCACTAATTAACACACATTAATAATGTTATTTAACTAACTGTTGTTGCCACCGACTGCCAGTGCTCTGATCACTGCTTTTATTGCATTGCATAGCAAAAAATGTGCATAACGTTTTTTTTCAGCATATACGATCAATGACTTAATCCTTCGCTTGCAGTCCATGGGGTCTGAGCATGCGGACCGTGACCTCCTCATTTCGCTCATTTCGGACTACGTAGTATAACGCGGCGGTTTTCGTGGGGTGGGCGACGATGTACTTGGCTGACAGTTTGTGGAGTGCCCCGGAAGACAAGGCTTTAATGTATCAATTCATTTGGGCTTGGGCCGCGCCATAGCTCAAGCGGTTAGTAGCTGGCGGCCCGGGTTCGATCCCGGGTCTGGTCAAGTGCGATTTGTGGTGGACAAAGTGACGCTGTAACAAATTTTCTCTGAGTACTTCGGTTTCCCTGCCAATCTTCATTCCACCAGTTGTTTCACAATCACCCTCACCTATCACCTGGGGCTGGTACAATTGGCCAGAAGTGGCCCCAGTACAAGGAACTTAGTCCCACCCCACTAGCGATAAAAAAAAATTCATCCAGCTTCTGCTCATTACAGGTTCGATGACGGAAAACTAACACCAGACCTCTTTCTCCTTCTTCAGTCCTTGTAGTATTAATTTGTTCACTGTATCAGTGTGTGGCCGAATTAGCTTCCATTGAAAGAATGAGCAAGAGTCATTATGTTTCCTAATAGGTGTCTTTCTCTTACGAGGACAAAAATTAGTATTGAAGGTATCTTTTAAGTTTCCAAGGACTTCTTTATGTAAGCCTGCCTTCTGTACATCAATGGCAACCTTTACTAGACAGCGTTTATACCCCCCCCCCCTGTACTACATAGCTGTTGGCCTGAGATGTAAAGACCTTTCAGTATCTCATTTGCAGTGTTTTACTAAATAAATTGTATTTATTGCATTTTTAAAGCTATAAGCACCAAATAAAAGCTTGGTTAAGAATTAATGTATTCGTGTACTCAGAGTTTTGAAATGGACGGTATGTGTGTGTATATATGAATATACATACACAGATTCTGTATAATATGCATTTCACATTTCTTTTTGGCTCTGGCAGAATTATTCGACACTTCCCACCCACTGTCAACAATGACAGCTTCCTTTTTGTACTGCAGACAATGCAGTTCTGGGAAATGTTATGCTAAAATAATTTCAGATACTGACAGGCCAGGGTTTACAGTGATTATCAGTCCTGGTCAGTGTTTTCAGAAGTGGTTGTTGGGTAGTTTTTTCACATTCAAATTAATGTAACTTTGGTTTTTGGGAAGTATGCTATCACTTGATTCCTTGTGTAAAATATTTTTGATTCTCTTAAAAAATCGTTTCCATTTATTGTTCAGCCTTTCCAGGAAGTACACAATTATGTGATTACATGTATAAAATAAACTGACCTCCTTTGAATATTGCACTTTTCTCAGCCCAGCAGCTTGAAAATAACAATATTTGAATATTCATAAGTATAACACAAAAGGGAAACAGGATATGTATGTCAAATTATGCTACATTACATTACATTGCATTGCATTCCATGGATCCAAAGTTAGTCAAAATGACTGCAGGATGTGGAATATGTCATATAAATACAGAACATATGTGTATGTACAGACCCAATGGAGTTCTCACACAAGAGAAACCAAGAATACACAGTGACTACACACAAAGATATTTAAAGATACTTAAGTTATTTTCTAGACAGTAGGTATTCATCAACAGAGTAGAATGAATGTGTATTCAAGTATTGTTTCAGTGCTATTTTAAATCGTGCATTTTCTTTCATAAGACCTTTGAGATCAGTTGGCAGGTTATTAAAAATGTTGATCCCAGCATATGTGCTTTTCTGAAAGCATGACAGGTTAGCAATTGGTTTATGAAGACAGTGTTTGTGTCTTGTGTTAACACTGTGTACATCCACATTCATCTGAAAATGTTCTTCGTTATTTGGAATGAAGTTTATTAATGAATATATATATTCACAAGGCAAGGTTAAGATCAGTAGTTTCTTAAATGGATCTCTACAGGAATTATGGGATTTGACACCCATTGTGATTCTAACAATTTTTGATTGCAATGTAAATACCTTTTTACTGTCAAATGAATTACCCCAGGAAATTATTCCATACTTCATTAAAGAGTGAAAGTAAGCAAACTAGATTGATTTGAGAGTGTCAGTGTTACTAATAAGTAACATGAATACAACTGCATAACATGCTCTACTTAACTTTGGAATCAACTGATCGATATGGTTTTTTCCTGTTTAAAAGATTATCAATTTGCAAGCCAAGGGATTTTGTGTTTACTCCCTCTTCTATATATTTATTATTATATCCTATGTTTAATGGATATTGTGGTGAGTTTATTGTTATAAATTTTATTACATTTGTTTTTTCTAGGTTCAGGGACAGCTTGTTTGCAGAAAACCATTTACTCATTTGCAAAAGAACCTTGCTTGATAACACGGAGAAATCATCTAAATTTTTACCAGAAATTATAACACTAGTATCATTTGCAAATATTATAGGTATTGATGAGTTCCTTAGTGTAGGAGGTGGTTTATATAAATTATGAAAAGCAAAGGCCCCAAAATTGACCCTTGTGGAACTCCATGTTTTGTTTCTGTTAGGTAGGATCTGAACCAACTTAACGTTGTTCCTTGAATGCCCAAAAAATGTAATTTAGTTAATAAAATTTCATGATTTAAACAGTCAAAAGACTTTGCCAAGTCACAGAATATTCCACCAACATTCACTGCCGTGAAAATCTCAAATCTTACATGAATTTTCTTATTAACAGGTTTCAACACACTGTCTGTTAACTTAAAGGTTGCATTTTCAATGGAAATTCCTTTCCTAAGGCCAAACTGTTCTGGGACTAGTATATTATTACTCTGAAAAAGATGGCTTAACCTACTGGGCATCATTTTTTAAGTACTTTATCGCCTGTAACTTCTAACTGTAAAAGAAGTGTAACAAGGGAATAAAAATACATAACTTACATTCTGAATTATAAAGAATAGGAAATTTTAAGGTTTTTAAAAATAAATTAAAAAATTATTTATTAGAAAACTATTTTTATTCTTTACAAGAGTTCTTTAGTAACTAACAATAACAATAGCAGTGGTTTTGTAATGAAAGTTAGTTTCGATCTTTGGACTGTTATCTTCACTAAATGTATGATGCTTTTACATGGCTGACTTGTGTTTTTTGGTGGTTTAAGTATATTTAATGCATTATATTGAATTGCTGAGAGCTGTAAACCATGGTTGGTAAACTACAGCAAGGGCATATTGATTAAAAAGGGACTGTATTGTACACTGTCTTGCATATTGTTTTGTACATTTCAAGAGTTGTTGACATGTAGTGTTCGGCTGTTTTCAACTGACTTGTCCAATTGTGCCTGTGTTAACAGTTATGGATGTTCATTAAATTCAAGGCCCACCAACTGCTTACCTAAAAAGTCATAGTGTAATACACAGTAGGGTAGCTATTTATGCCTGCCTCTGCATGCCACTATTTTCTCCAGCACTGATGTGAGTTACACTGCTGTAGCATGCGTGACAGACATGTTGGTAACTCAGTAAGGACACAGGATATGAGATACGTTCTTTCTTACTCACTGTAACAGGTCTCATTTGGCATAATACTAAAAAATGATATTCACCCTCTCTTGCAACTGCATCTGTTTTAATATTTTCTTATATAATTCTTTAGGATAGAAAGAATAACTCCATGGAGCCATATTCTTCTTGAGAAGCCAGAGTTACTCAGCCACTCAACAACATTCCAAGCATTTTATGAAACCTGAAGGTTCACAACCATGTTCATAAGAGCCCACTGCTGGTTCCCATCCTACTTCGCTATGATATATTTTCATATTCTCCTACTTATGCCTGGGTCTTTGTAGTCATCTCTTTCCTTCAGGTTTTCCTGCCAAAACCCTGTATGCACTCCTCTCCCATGCAAGCTGCATACCCAACACATCTAAGTTCAAAGTTTTAGAATAAAAGTGCCCCACTTTGGTACACATACAGATTATGGCAGCGATATCTCAATGCTCAACATCAGAGCAATCTGTTTCTGAAGATTCTATATAAGACAAGTTAGGAAATCTATGCACAGTGTAACAATTCTGGGGCATCCACTATCATTGCTTGTATATTTCTTGAGTAGAGAGATGACAGCATAAAACATACAATTTTTCTTTACAAATCTGGTTCAAACATTTTTTGCACTGATAATTGTTTAGTGATACTCAAGATGTGTGCAGAAATTGAAGTAGTTCTTTCTGTAGTTTCCATTATTGCTTCGTTTCAAATGTTACTGGTTCCACCGTCTAGCATGCAACACATCTTCCTATAAAACTTATTCACTTCAAAACTTTTGCACATCATATAACTCTTTAATATTTTAAAATTTTTTGGCAACATCCTTTGACAAATATGGTCATTGTTAGGCGGTTAAAATTATAGTTGAGGAAACTGATGTGCTTCCGTTATTAATTGTTTAATGTATGGTTCCTTCTATGCACATGCGTATTCCAAGCAACGGGTTATTCTTCCCACTGTGTTTGCTAAGTATGTTTTTTACTAATGCTATTATTGCTGTCCAGTTTTAACCAAAATTGGACTGGACCAACATATTTTACTAGGTGCTCACAGCAATGGTTGTGAGGATTTCTATCTTCTTGGATATAATGTTGAATAATCTGTTGAAAGTCAAACAGTGTTTCAGAGGCACACGTCTTCTGGGTTGAAGAGTACTGCACGCAAGAAACCAGGATGGCTTACTCTTTGACCATGAAGATGGTGATGTCTTCTTGTGAAGATGTTACACAGTAGGAAGAAAGAATATGGGAAGAAACCAAGAAGCTGTAAGATGAACAGGACTGAAGAAGAGGTTTATAAGAATGGAAATGTCAGAGGAAGAAATATGCTTAATAATATACATAAAGATAAGCATACTGGTGAGTGTAAGGACAGACAATAAGCAGTAAATATATTATCCTCAGAATGTCCTTATATGGTGATATTCCAGAAAATTTAGATGTGATAACATATATGGGATAATAATTAATGTTTATTATCTGTATTACTGTAGACAATTGCACTATCAAGTTTTCTCCTAAATAAGAGATCCAAGTCTCATGGAAATAAGGAAATACTGTATATTTCATATACACCGGGCTTTTCAATAGCAAGAGACGTAAATTAAAAACTGAATATGCGTTGTCCTTTCCTGCTTTTTCATATTGTAACCATTTTCCTGATATATTAAAGATAAATTATCATACTTCATATTGACATACAATATTTAATATTTGTTGAGATTTATAGTTAAGAAGAGTACTGTGTTTATAAAATACCTGTTTGACAGTATCAAGTCATTCAACTTGGAAACAGCAAAGTTTTCATGAGATGCCAAAGCAAAAAAGTGATCTTTCTGGGTTATAATACAATGATAATTCACCAAAACAATTCAAATGTCACGAAACGGAGAGACAATTCATAGCCATTTGAGAATGGACTGTATGAATGTCACTTAACTAAATAACTTTACAGTTTACAAACAAGATTAACTCAAACACAAATTATACTACATGAATGATTAATACTGGAAAGACAGTAACACGAATTCAAGATACTGGCCACAGAAAAATAGCTTAAAGATTACTGCAAAAACAAACTCAGTATTATAACATACTACTAATCCTAAATTTAGCATTAAATGGCATACAAATAATTCAAGAAAAATAAACACAATTATTATATTTATATAATGCAAACCAAACTTTTAATACTTATATATAAGGACCTTAGTAGTAACAGTCAAATAAAAAATCAAATTAAAAAATGGCACATTTTTTGATCAAAGAAGTTTCAGCAATATACCAAACATAAACCAACACAATTCCAAGTGCTCTGTAAATTCATAAATTCAATCTATTGTAGTCCCAATTCTTTTTAGGCATTTACCTTTCTGAAGCAACATTAAACATGCTCACACATATAAGGTCTGAAGACAAACATGACTGTTCATAAATTTGAGGAAAATTAATCTTAGAGAAACTACACATGTAATTTCATGAATACATGACCAAAACTGACTTTTAAACAAACAAATGCTATTATTCATTTTCATGGTAAAACCCTGAAGATGGAGTCAATACATTCACCTGAAACACTGATATTAATCAACAATATTATATTTACTTATTTGAAAATGAGAATTGAAATATACAAAATTCTCTATTGAGAGTTCCATCTTCTGAGATGTAATGCTGTGTGATGTAAATATCAACTGATGGTTCAGAGGACCATATAACCTCTATCTTCAGGGACCAAAGAGCAAGTCAATCTGGAAATCAGGGGAGAAGGGGGGGGGAAGCAAGAGCTTGTCTTGGTTAGTTATTAGAGAGGGTGGGTTTCCCCATGCACTTAGACCTATAGTGGTCCATTGTGCTTCCCTCTATGATTTCTACCAGTCTCTATATCCTGCCGGTATTGGTGCTTATCATCAGTCCCGCCCAGCCAGTGAGACCGGCTCTACTGGCTGAGAAGTATCTATAATGCTTCCCCCATCTACCGGAGGTATTAGTGACTGCTGTTGGGCGGGAAACGTCCGCAATTTTGGCTCAGTGACCTCCTTTGGAGGTGTGAGGTTCTTTTACGTGCCGTAAAGCTATGACACGGGACCCACAGCTTAAAGTCCCTCCCAGAGGACTTGTTCCCTGAATTTTACCGCCCTTAAAAATTCGACGACCTCCGCCGGGTATTTGAACCCGTGTACTACGAGTCATGAGGTGGGAACGTTACCTCTAGACTATGGAGGCTGCTCAAGAGCTTGTCTTAGTCACTGGACAATGAGACAAGTCCTGTACTGAAGACAAATGGATGAAGGGATACTGTACATGTGAATGTTTAAAATAAAGGCAATGAAATTCACTGTTCACAGTAAAAGTAACATTACACACAAGTTAAAAGTCTGTCCACTAGGACATCAGTAGTAAGAGATTTAAATCCATTATCCCATGACAATCATTAAACTCCAAACCTTGTAAGCATGAGCACGTGCAGGAGTCTCTAAATGTATGTCTGATTCTTTTTTGTTCGCAAGTCATGGAATGGTACAGCAAATTGTAATTTTTAGTGACCTGAAATCAGATTTTAATGAACTGGATGAGACTGGGACCTGAAGATGTGAGAGTTCATCTGAGATTAATGCTGGATATGCCATACACGTGTCACCATTACTTATCATTAGACATAATAAAACATCATTTTCATTTAACAAAAACAATCCACCTCCCAAAATACAAACCTATAAAATAAAATGAATTAAGATCCAAGTGGATGGGACATCATATCTCTTCAGTCAAAGACAAAAATACTTGAGGATGAAACTCCAGATAGCTGTAATGGATCAGACATTCTCGAACACTAAGGAGAGGTAAAAGTTAACTCCAATTTCTTTTGATTCATTAAGAACAAACAAATAACAACATATAACAAGGAGAACTTTTTCTCTCATTTGAAGATAAATAAGCAATTCTAGTAAATTTAAATGTGCTGAATCTTAACTTGAGCTTGAAAGTTTACATCTCCCTCACTTTTCCTGGGAAATGATCGCAAATTAATGCACAAGCCATAAATTTGCTGGCTGCATATAATGTGCCTAGTTTTTTTAACAATTCACTGCACAATATGACAGTACCCTGAAAAAAGGTTCAGTGAGAGATATGAGGTTCTCACACCATTAGTTACCTGAGATGTAATTTCTGCTAACCTGAACAAAGAGTCAACAGATTCCATCTACAGTTGACACCTCTCTACCAAACTACACAGTGTGAAAGACCATAATCTTGAATAGTAATGATAACTCGCATTTTTGGAAATTAGGTCATATTCTGACCATTTCTCAACCATGCTTAGTATGGATGCAGGTTAACGCTGTTAGGATGACAACCAAAAGAGATCATGTCTAGTGTTTTGACTCTGAGAGAAGAACTGCTGGCCAGCACTGTTACTGCTTGCATATATTTAACTTCACAGTAGGCACAAAAGGAATTGGTACAAGTCATACCGGAATGAGGTATTTATTACTCCTTCAGTTTTCTCAAAAGGTGTCAAAAGGAATGTTCTCTGAAATAAATCCATAGAATACAAATATCTGAGAAATTCTTCTTGGATTTTCAACAGATGTATGGATCACTTTACCCACAAAAAGGTTAGAGAACTCATCTATCTGAAGTTTCATTCTCCTAATAAACTTGTCATGGAATACAAATTACAAATTATTACAATTAAAAATTGGTGAAAATTTTTAAACAAAGTCAGTCCATTAAACCATGAAACACTATTCAATATATATATATATATGTAACATTTCGGCGAACATGCACTTTGTTTCATACCAGCAAAACATAACCACATTACAATCCTGACATTATCAAAAGCACTTTTCTCTTTTCACCAAGGACAATATGTACAAAAGTTGAGTTTAAAATAATTATTTAGGACAACCACAATTGTACAACACAACACCACACAACACAACACAATATGCTTGCTGCCAAGCCTACACTTAAGTAACATGAAACAGATGTTATTGTTAAAAAAGTGCTCTAAGCTTTCTTTGGTAACTAGCTCACTTGGTAAGAAAGCTACACCTCACTACTAGGCAGGCACCCTGATACACCCATACACACACAATCTCATATTCACACATTTAAACTCTCAGAAGAAATAAAATGTTAAAGACTCATAACAGAAGTGCTACATGGAATCAGTTCACTTATCCCAAAGTCCTGATCATTCATTGACCAGATTAAATGACCAGACTACTTGCAATTAAGGGAATTTATATCAGCACGAGCCAAAACACTGAAAAATATGAAAACATATATGTGGAATGCTAGTTTTATGTAAGTTATTACTATAATAAATACACCATAACTTGTGACAAGAGCGGTTACATAAACAAAACAGACTTTTAAAAGTGGTATGCTGGTTGGAACTTCACACACACATATACACAAATAAATAAATGTACATTAAGTATTTAAATTTATACTGTTACATCCTGTCATGCAATTTGACTAATTATACCAAGTGTTCATTGTGCAGGCTTATAAGACATCCTTGGGACTTGTTGGTATGTTGTCTCGGCACACATTGCAGGAGCTCCTGACAAACTGAAGGGCATTCATTTGGCAACCACCTGATAAGTGAGTCACAGCATAGTGAGTGTTATGCCACCAAGTGTTATAGAAGCTACTTTCTACAGTGCTCTGTTGTGTCTTTATGGCTTGTGTTAGATGCCATTTAGAACAAAGAGTTTTCATTTATGTGAAAAACACTCACGCAAATCGTGCAGGAGAAAATTTCCTAACATGACATGTCCATCTGCAGACACAATTTCTAAATTAGTGAAGAAAGTTTGAACGCATGGTATTGTAACTGACAGAATGCCATTAAAAAGAAACAGTGTTTTAACTGAGAAGAAACCTGATGACATTAGAAAATTCTACTCAAAAATCTTTGCAGTGATTGGCACAACAAAGTGGTGTTCTTGCAGGCAGCGCATGGACAGCAACTAAACTGTTACATATTCATCTGCATAAAATTACTGTTGTTCCTGAAATTAAACCTGTGGATTATGAAAAAAGAGTGCATGATGGACTTAATTGATCCTAAGCTGACACTCTTCACAGTTGAGGCTAATTAGTATCTTGGGATATGTTAACTCACAAAACAACAGGTACTGGAGTAGTGAAAATCCTCATGTACTAATTCAACTTATTTGCAACAGAAAGACAGGTGTATGGTGTGTGTCTAGTGCAGACCGTCTCATGGACCAATATTTTATGACGGAACTCTTGATGCTCAATAACACATTAATGAAATATTAAATTTTTCATTAATTTGGCACCTGCAGAAGAAAGATTCAGTTGTTTTATGCAAGATGGCGTGATTCCATACACAGCTAAGGAAACTATCCGAGCATCATGTGGTGTGTTTAGGGAGTTAATGGGAAGGATAGAATTATTAGCAAGGGTTTGCTGTCCCCCTAGATCCCCAGATCTAAACCTGTGATTTAGGGAGAACTCAAAAGTGTTGTCTATGCCAACAATCCACATGACCTGGAGACTGTTAAAACAGAATATTCATGAAGCAATTTACACAATTCAGCAACGTGAATGGCAACAAGTTTCCCGAAACCTGTTTAAAAGAATTCAGACATGTCTCACAGCAGAGGGCAGCCATTCTGAACATCTTCCAGGCTGGTGAGTACAATATTAATTACTATATTTGATTAATAATTAATAAAAGAAGTAAGCAATGTGTGCTATCAGTTCTGGCCATGCAGTGGCATTTTTCTTGGCAAGTGGTGCAGTACTTTTGCAGGTGATAGTAAAATCAATGTCCAATTAGCCTGTGCTCCGAACACTGTGTACAATACCATGTAAACAGTCTCACAGTGTAGTTACAAAAATGCTGACAGATTGGGCAATATGTTTCAGCATATTAATGCCATCTTTAGGCCACAAATACCAAATGACAAACATAAATTATCATTAGACAAAATTACAAATTAAATTTAAGGTCATTATCTGCCTTGGGCCCTAAGGCTGGCAGTACTGTGGTTAAACATGTTGGCCAGTTTTGTGAATTTGGTAAATACACATCAACGGACTATGTACATGGTATTATAAGAGATGCAAGGTTCCTATGGTGGTATGAAGGTTACAGTCTTTTGGAATGTGACCCTGTGTAGTTTGGTAGACACATCTTCAACACTGGCCCTGAAGATGGACACTGTTATGTTCTCCAAAACTTTGGAACCTGTCTACCAAATTACATAATGTCATATCCCAGAAGACTGTAACCTTAATATTCAAGATGCTGAACAAATGAATGACTGGTTGATGGTTTCGCAGTTTGTCACATACTTCAGCTTTTCAGACCAATTGCATTTGGCAACTTTAACATGTGTGTGGTTCTATGAACTATGCTCTATGACCCTAATAACTGCAATCATCCTCAAGCAATACATGGACAATTTTTCCTCACTCTCAGATGTCTGTAATCATACCCACTCCATTCTTAATGAAGTATTGAATAGTAACTCCACCAAAACTGGAGTAACAAAATTAAGTTTGTGCGCTAACATACACAAATTCAAGGTTCCCATGGCTCACTATGAAAATTATTGTTCTCTGGGATGTGATGTCATGCAACCTAGCAGAGGGTTACAATGTTTTGGATGAATCTACTGCCTCTATCTTCAGGGAAGAACACAAAGGCAGAAGGTTCCTCTGAAATGTTTGTAACTCTACCAGATTTTATCGTATGACATCCCAAATTTTTATGCTTATTCAGATCATAAATTAAATTTATAATGGAATTCTGCAATAACTGATATCATGCTTTTATTGTGATTTACTTTACTATAATTGCAATGACTTAGCAGTCATCATGTCACAGATATGACAGGTTCACTAACTGAAAGCTATGCAGTTCCTGACATAAATCGGTAACAACCTACCATCTCAGAACTTCAACATTTTCTAAAACATTGAGTAACAAGAAAACAGTACTACAGGAAAACACAATTGTACATTAAACAGTGTTACCACAATATGAAAAATATTTTAAATAAATTCTTTTCTTCATTTCATTATTCGCAATCATGATGGTAGATACTGCAGTGATACTGTGTACAGAGCAGATTGGTAGGAGTGCTGTGTCTGGAATGTATATACACAATCGACATAAGTATTACTGCCTATCCAAACACACTAGCTCACTGTCTGATGCTATGCAGATATACATATATGCAAGGCCCAATAAACCCACTAGACTGCTAATCTGTGACAAGACCATGGCCACTGACTGGAATAATCTTTGAATTTATTCCTTTAAATTCTCTCTAGTTTTCTTTTTAATTTCTGCACAGATGTATTCATATTCCACGCTTCTGATTTCATCATAAAACCCACAAAATATTACATTCTGAAAAATAATTTTGAATCAAGATAATTTCTACATTACATCTGCTAAACTTTCCATGTAGTTTTGCTTTTGTTAATATATGCAGATCTGACACAATCACATCTCACATCTTGACAGATTATCAATTTGGAAGACCGATAAAGAATAATAAATAATGCAATGAAAGCTGCCAAAGAAGTCAGAGATTACAAGAGCATTATACTATACATATAAGCCCAGTATCTTTGCTTGATTCCAGTACATCTATATTTCAGAGTTATTCAGCTAATGGCCCATGGGCTACAGGCCTCTGAGAATCTTTCCACTGGCCCATGGACGGACAAGAAAAAGTCACAAACTTTCATTACGTTAATATTTGGTTTCATAAAATATTTAATATTCCTGTATGCCAATACTGTAAACTGATTTTAAATGTAATTTTACACTTTAAGGATGATAATAACAATTGGAGGGACATCACCTTAGACAAGAAGTTTAGGAACATTCAAGCAGATGAATGATTAGGAGGACAGTAGGATGTATGAATAAAGACCTGTAGCAGAAATCAAGAATATACTGTATGTATGATTAAAAGGGTACAAGAGTACATTAAAGTTGGACGCAAGAGGTTTGTTCAAAATGGTATATATCTACAAAACTACACTGCGTAACATCTCAGAAAGACCATATAATCTTCAAATTTCGCGCTGTGTGTGTAAAAACTCAAGTGAAATGGATCACTGATAATGTGTGAACTGATCTGATACCACTGCCTATTCAAACCTCACTTCTATTCACATGAAAGAAAGTGAGATCATCTTGACAAAATACAGAGCATCCCACAAGCCTTGAAGGCAATAACCATGAACTCAGAGAATGGTCCAAGTATTTTTAAGAGACTGTCCCTGCAAGAGTGAGGTCAACTCCACAAATAACTCACACTGTTCTCCTAGTGACAAAAACGTTTATCTAGCTATGAATGGAGAACATATTAAGCCAATTTTGTTAAGAGCTGTGTCAAAACTCCAGTACTGCATATGGTTCTAGACTTATGAGACACCCTACAGAATAAAACTGTTACAAACAATTCTGAAGCAAGCCATATGTGAAGTATATATACATAACTTAAGGAACATTCAAAATTATGTTCACTGGCTTTGATATCATTTTTACACATGAGTTATACACAAACTAAAATGATTCATTTAATATTGGATAATTTAAACCAAATATTGCTTGAGCTTGATTTCAATAGTACATTTCAGCATGCTCTTACATTATAAGTAATCAATTATGTGAAGTAGTAGGCAGGAAGAGGGTTAGAGGATTAAAGACAACTGGACAACATCAAACTGGAAGTCACCATCAGATAACGAGATTCTTGGCATCTATACGTGCACTTTGTGTTGATACAGTCACACTACACACACCCACACAAATTTACAAAGAGGTATTACAGAAACAATTTCTTAGTACCTAATAAACACATATGTATTGCTTTAGGTTCTTACAAAAATAAGCAAAAAATATTTTACATGCCTAAAAAGGTCTGATCGTAAGACATGAAATAACGTCAACTCTGAATGAATAGTAAAATGTCAGAATGCAAAAGATTTTAAGCTTTCATCGGGAATAAATGCACAAAAATCTTTCTGGGTTATCAGCTGTATCAACGTTGAATCAAAAACTAATGTTTCATCAGAGACCTCCTCCATTACCAGCATCAGCGTGGATACGGTAAACAACCATACGTCGCTGGTATATGTACCAGTCTCTTGAATTGATGTCTGGCCAATCAATTGATTGGCATACTATGCAGCAGGAAAGCAAAGTCAAATTGCGTGGTCACCCAACTGACTCTTAAACCTATCACTTATGTCACTTAAGCTGGTGTCCCTGCTGTCAATTATTCTATCTTCTTAGCATGCTCTTCCCTATGTTTGTCTTCTTGGGATTTCCTTGATCTATGTGCGCTGAAGCACCTTAATAATCTGGCACTGTAATTCTATGGTTTGCCAAGTCTGAGTCCTCGGGTAGTTACCACATCGATCCTGAAGATGGAGACAGAGGAGATCTCGGAATCATTACTTAATAACTCATCACTGACATGGCTAATCATCCAAGATTTTAGCACAGAATACATAAGTTACAGTTGTCACAATGGAACAAAACGTTATTGCAACTGCCTGTCTTATTGTTTTTGTACTATGCTGTTACAGATACATATCCATATATACAAAAGAAAGAGAGAGAGAGAGAGAGAACAATGCTTCTTTTCAGAAGCTTTATCCTTTAAAGCATAACGTGTACTGGTGTGGCCAGTGTTTATGGTGACATACACACTTTCATCTCATAATATTAACAGCGTATTTAAAACTTAGTTCTTCTGATACATGAAGTTCTCATGATGGGACTATGAAGAGTATTATCTTCTCGAATGTGATGCCGTCCAGTCTGGTAGAAGTTTACTGACATTATGGAGAAATCGACTGTCTCCTCCTTACTTTCAATCCTGAGGATGAAACCAGTATGTTCCTCCAATACACTGCTAAATTTCTAACAGGCTGTGCAGCATCACATATCACAAGACAAGTACTCTCCAATCTGGGTCTTGGACACATAACTGCTGTCAATTTTACAAAGCACTATTCTTTGATCATTATTTCTAACTGAACTGAACTTCTGTACAGTTGCACAAACCAAATCCAGCCCCATGAATAAATAATTTAAGTAAGAAATGTATAAAATGCGTTGAGTGTTTAATTTTATGAAAATCTATGTTAACAGTCTTAATACTTCTAGCATGTTTGTATATTTATCCACATTTCTCCCTGGAAATAACTGCTGGAGATGATCTAGTGAGACATGACATAAAAGCATTGCTTGGCCACCCTTGACACAAAAAATACTAGAGGGAAAACAGGTGGGGTAAAACGTGTCTTGAAAGACATGTAACCCATCTAAAAAGGGGGCTTTACTATTTAACTTCATAAAACAGACTAACAGAATTTATAAACAAAACAGGGATGGAATTTTAGTAAACATCTCAGATTTCAGGCAACATTCCCTCCCTCTAGCATGAACACAAAAAGATGCAAACAAATTCTTAAACATCTTGCAACAGATGACAGCAAACATAGCAATCAAGAGGTATTAACAGTGACCTTCACAGTTTTTCATTCAATACTAAGTTATTTTCTAAATACTACATTAAACTAACTCCGAATAAAATACGTCTTTTAATGATATTTATCTTTCAAAATAATTATTCACAAAGCTTAGACTGTGAGATGTCGAAGTTCATTACATCTACGGAAGCACAAAATTAAAGAAGATATGACACAGTATGCATGGTTAGAAGATTCTGTATAATTTGAAGCTGCAGTTCATGTAATTCTTGTCTACTCAATCTGGTAAATAATTTTCATAACATTGCTGCTGCAACTGCTCTGTCTTCCATACTTCAACACAAGGCATCCCAAAAACCTGGGCTCATCTCATATCAATTTTACTACTTTTTATGAGGGCTGTTCAAATGAAACCTGTTTGTGGAAGTGCTAGTGAATGTGTGGTTGTGTGCATGACACACATGCAATCTGCTGTATTCGCTAGCGACACCATGAACTGGTTTCATTCGAACAATCCTCATAGCATGATTCCACATGTAACCTAGTTTTTACCAAAATAAAATAAAACTGTTGTTTTACAACCAAACTTAACCGGGATGGGCCATATATCAAGCCCACAACAAGCAATCTCCAACTGTTACATGATAACACACAAGATATGTGAACCAAAATACAAGTATAACATAAAGTGTTGCAACTTACATAATAAATGTAAAAATATACAAACAAAAAACAGATTGTTATATAACATAAAACAAGCTAGCAAAGAACATAGGGTAATACAATCACATTACCGTCTTTTCTGGCAGTTCAAAGGCAACCAAATGTTATTGCTCTATTTTAACACTGGACCTTCAATTTAGAACGATTTGAGGTAAGTAATATTTTTGTTTATTACATAACAGACCTACGAGCATGTTAGGGATACAAGGAACATGCGCTACTGTTTTAACATTACACAAACAAAATAACTGGGAGGTAACAAAGATTTGTCTTCACGCAAAAAGCCAATGTTAACTTCATGACGATGGCACAATCACCCTGCAGTATTCTCTTTCTATTCCAAATGACTGAGGTATTCAGATGCATCACCACGACAAATTGGACATGTTCTGTTGGACTAGAAACACAAGATGAAACAAGTAAATAGCATTTTTTATATTATATTTCACATCGCTGCATCATTATTCTGAATGTACATATACACTCGTCATAAACAAATACTTGCTTATTCAAACATTTTTATTTTAAACTAGATTTCGTGTACCTATAATATAATTTTCTTTTTTACTTAGATCCCATAAGTACCTACACTAGATAGCATTTGATGGTAGGATTACTGATGGCCTGGAAAGGGTTTGGAAGGAAGTGGTAAAGCCTAACTGAAGCACTATGTCTCAATTTGCATGGAGGGACTTAGGAAAATCATTAACAACTCAGGCTACTTGGTAACCTGGCCAAGATCTCAACTGACCACTTCCTGAATACCAGTCTGGAGCATTATCTCTACACCAAGGGCTATCAAACTATGTGATACCAAGGCTCATTAAAATAATACATAGATATATGTGATCCCACTGTGCCAGTGAGTGAGAAGTGCAGTTCTGCACAATAGTGCAGCTTCCTATCAGGATGTATGGTGACAGCTGGAACCTAATTAGCTTTACAGGCTTTCTACACCTACAGTACAAGACACTCTGTCCCTGCATGTGTGCGCGCAGACGCATGCATGCACACACAAACACTCCTGAATTGCATCGCCAGCAACAGCAACATTTTCTGAAAGCACTCACATTAAGTCTTACTGACTTTTCAAAGCCTGTGCCTGGATATATCTTATATATATATATATATANGTCAACCCCAGGGCCATAATGTGGCTGGAAGGATTAGGTCAATTGAAATAATCCAATGACCTCATCGGGACTTGAACCCGTGACCTTCCAGCTTGTAGCATAGCCCAATCAACCAACTATGCTACAGTGTGTCCCCAGATATATCTTCTATTAAAATAATTATCGTGAAACTAGCAACACACTTTGAGCAGACCACAAATCACCTGCAGTTTGAGAAACCATGCTGCAAACCAATCTATCCGGCAGAGTTCAATCATAACATCCAACACTGTGGGGGGGGGTTGGTGTCAAGAACAAGCATATTTAATAAAACGAGGGCAGCTGATGACATGGGGAATACTGCTGGCAGAATTAGTACTACCTGCAACCATTGTGTGCTGCACTCTATCAGTGAACACACATATACATACAAAGAGACAACTCTGATGATGGCCTAATAGCTGAAGGAAACGGAACAGGATGTTACACCAGGAAGTCACCTGCTGGTCCAGCAATGTTACCACAAATCCTGGATTCTGAACTTACTACATCTGGAATGGAAATGGTTGGGAACAGAATATGTATAAAAACCTTAATTTGAAGAACATTAAATGGAAAGTCACATGGCATCCCTTTGAAGTCTAGGCCCAGAGTCCATACTCATGCAGGAGATAATTTTAAGTGCAGGTCCATCTGGTGAGGTAATGCAGAGTATAACCACGGAAACTGGGAAGACTTGCTGGGAACCATGAAAATGGTTGCTAATAGGGCCACAGATAGCTGTGTATGACCAGCCTGGTGAGTGTAGAGGTCAATAATGCTCTTGATATGACATAACACTTCAAGATTTGTGGGAAGACAGATGAGAGTAGACAGCTTCTGCACACTGACCCTTTAAGAATGGAAATCACATTAGGAGATTATCCTCCCATCTATGACTTGGTAACCTAAGTGGTCTCTTCCCTTCAAATTTTTTGACTGAAATTCTGGTATGCGTTTTTAATTTCTCCCTACACTCTGCATGTTATTCCCACCTAATCCCTTTGATTTGATCACATTAGCAACATCTCACAAAGGCTGCAAATAATGAAGATCTTCAGCATATAATTTTCTCCATTCTCTGTCACTGATCTAAACAGAGTGGGAGCTCCATTTAATGTTCTTGATTTATAGTTGGCCAATCACAGCGGGTACGCGGTCTAAGGCACGAGCCATCTTTGCCTGCTCAAGCACTGGGATCACAGGTTTAAATCCAATGGATATCCATGTGTGTTTATTCTGTGTTGTGTTCTATTTGTAGGTAGTGGCCTTGCGATGGGCTGATCCCATGTCCAAGGAGTCCTACTGACTGTGTACATTAAGAAACAAAAAACAAAAAACAAGAAAAAAAAATGGCCAAGGTCCACAAGGGATGTAGAGCCATCATAGATATATTCAATGACAAGGACCAGCTGCCAAAGACAGACTGCTAGCAGGGCACATTGGTGGAATGATAACTACAGGGAAGAACTGCAGCCCTTGGAGAAAATTCTACTATAGTGCCATTTTGTCCAACACAAATCTGTACAGTACCCAGGAGTAGAACCCAAGCCTTCACAGTGAGAAACTGAAAACTGCTTGACCATGATTTGGCCAGGATATCTTATAAATACAGTCAATCTCCCACTTATGTTCTAAAATTCAATATCATTTGTCAGGTAATGTTCAATTAACATGATCCCAAGTTCATAATCTTCATATTAATTACCCTCCATTTGATATATTCAATTTAGTATACAAATCCATTGCTCCTTACAGAACTTCCAATGGGACTTTAATTGTAATGTGATATTTAACACCTATGCTAATATACATGGGCATACACATCAATGGGGTACCAATTTATTCTGATACCCTCAGTGCATGTTTTTCCCGTACAGAGACACAAAGTTTCACACCCATACGAAACAGGTAAAAGTGTAACATGTGTCAGTCTTTAAGATTTTAGATGGGAAATCAATGAAGGCTTAAAACAAATATGTGCTAAACACATAGCTCCGACATGCATAAACTTACCTTAAGCCATTTATCAACACATTTTGCATGAAACTCATGTGAACATGGAAGAACTCTGATGACCTGTCGTGCTTCAAAATCACACATGCACACGACACATGATGTCTGATCTCCATGGTGAGAGTTTGCATTGAACCTGAGCAAAATATCACATGCATATACACGATAAATGCAGTGAACCCTCCACTCAACATTCCTCAATTTAAAGTTATCCGCCATTTCACGTTAAAGTTTTACTGATCTGAAGGCCATCTCGGTGGCAAATTCCCTTTATTTAATTTTCAGATCCGCTGCTCCCCAAAGAAACCTTAAATTGGAGTTTCACTGCATGAACTTAAAACTGGAATCACACTGACACCCCCCTTTAAGATTTCTTTGGAGATCACTGGTTTTGGACAGTAAATTGAGGAAAATGTTAAACTGAGTAAATTTTAACACTGAGATCATTGAATGTCAAATGTGGGAAAACATTAAATCAAGGAACATTAAATGAGAGGGTTTCACTAGATATGCAATTCTGATGAATGGAATCCATGTTGGGTGTCTCTTCATGTTCCCACATGCTCTTCCATTATTGTGCCCTATAATTTAATACTATTAATTTAATAAACAAAATTTATTTAAATGCTCTAAAACAAACTAGAACATTTAAAACAAATAATGCCAAGTACATAGAAATGTCTTTCATACAGACTTCCCAGATTTTAAAACATACTGTAAAGAAACTTAATGCACTTACATCAGCTTCAAACGCAGATGATTCAGTAGAATATGCAGACCATTTCTTTATGAATACTCACAAGAAACATGTACAAAAATGTGTACAATATAGACTTACACTTATTTATTCTGATGTGCTGCATTTTCAGTTTTGGATATTTACGAGTATATGTGCCTGTACTAAGCTAGATCATATCACGAATGAGGATACTAGAAAAGAATTAAAAATGCCGTCAGGGCAAAATAAAAAAGATGAATACACACAGGATAGGATAAACTATTTGGAAGCAGTGTTGGATGAAAGAAGAGTGAAACAGATTCTAGAACAAAATAGATGCATAGCCCAAGGAACACCTAAAGATATGATCTACATGTGAGGCTGAAACGAGCTAGATTGGCTACAAGCCAGACGGGAAGAGTGTGAATGAAAAATGCTGTCTTCTGGAATGTGTGAACCGACGTTTTGGAGGGACGTATCGCCTCCATCTTCAGGGTAGAAAAATCCACAAGTGAGGAACCAGCATGAAGAAGCAGCTGAAGATTTCGGTTCAAACAAGATTTACATGGCGCCATAGTCATTCTTCATAGTCACCGCCGTGAAAACCTCGAATCTTATAGGAGTGTAAATGTTTCAGATAAAGGTCTGGTTATGTGAGAGGTACGTAAGTGAAATACGCAAGGTGTCGAGATTTAGGAAAACTCTGACCCCTGTAGGGGAACAGGAATTATGGTTTCTACAGTGGAGTACATTGCATAGATCTGCTAACTACAGAAGAAAGAGTTTTTCTCTATGGTTGGCATGTCTACCACCTTGATATGTACAGATAACTTGCACCTATGCCTATGGCCACTGGAAAGCTGTTAAGTGACGCTTCCATCACTGTTCCTGCAAACTTGTTGCAACTCACACAGTGGACATTACTTTTTTATATACACACAAGAGATTTAAGGATGGAAACAGCAGCTGTTCCCAAACCAATGAAAAATTGTTTCCTAATAAAACACTGATCTAAGCTATGAAAAGAATTCTAAATGCTTCTTATCACTGCATCAATTGAAAATATGTAGGTCGCACCGAAATTTATGAGCAACTTCCTGGGAACAGCAGACGAACGAGAGTATGGTGGTAGGTGGAACCAGCTGTTGTGTTAACCTTGAGTGTCTTGTGACATCAAGAGCTTGCATCACGTGACCAGTATCGCTCCTAACAAAATGGCCGACAACGATATGTTGTTTTGCCAGCGTGCTGAAATCGAATTTCTTGTGAAAGAGGAAATCCCTGCTGCAGATATTCACCAGAGACTTCATCGTGCTTATGGAAGTGTGTGCATGGGTGCGAGCAGTGTTTGAAGATGGGTGAAACATTTTAAAGATGGGAACACCTGCATCGAACATGAGCCTCGGAGCGGTCGTCCTCGAACAGCCTCAACTGAATGCAACAAGGAAAGGGTAAATGAGATCACTGAAGATGACAGGCACGTGACTGTGGACACAATAGCCCGAAAACTTGGAATAGGGCACAGTGCAGTATAGGAGATGACTGAAAGCTTGGGCTATAGGAAAGTTTGTGCTCATTTGGTCCAGCAGTTATTGACCGAAGACCACAAAGGTCAGCGAAAAGCCGTCACCTCAGAACTGCTGCAGAGATATCGACATGAAGGCGGTGATTTTTTGCTCTGTATTGTGACAGGTGACGAAAGCTGGTTTCACCATTTCAAGCCTGAAACGAAACGGCAGAGTATGGAATGGCACCATTTGCATTGTCCATTAAAAAAGAAGGCAAACACAGGGCCATCAGCTGCAAAGGTGATGGGCACAGTCTTCTGGGATGCAGAGGAGTTTATTCTGGCCTAATTCCTGGCACCTGGGCAAACCATCAATGCTGCTCGTTATGTCCAGATGCTGCACAAGCTCCGTCGTGCATTGTGCGATAAATGTCCAGGATGAAACATCATCATCCTGCATGACAACACATGCCCACATGCCACTCACCTCACACTGGAAGCAATTGCAAAGACAGGGTGGGAAGTTCTTCCACACCCCTCTTATAGCCCTGATCTGGCACCCTCTGACTACCATCTTTTCAGTTTTGTGAAGGATCAGCTGCGTGGACATTTTGAGACAAGGGAGGCAATTCAGAAAGCAGTGCGTCAGTGTCCTCGGATGGCAGGAACGGAATTTTACAGAAGGGGAATTTTCAAACTCCCAGAACGCTGGGAGAAATGTGTACAAAGAAGTGGCGGTTATGTGGAAAAATAAAGAAAGGTCTGTAGATTGAGGTGGTGTATTTGGTTTGTCAATAATAAAGCATGTTACTTTACAAAAAAATTGTTGCTCATGACTTTCAGTACGACCCTTGTACAAGTGTGACATTATATGATGGCTTACTTGTATGATGGCAGCTGTTCGATCTCCACTTTGGCCAATCCTCTTGGCTTTGCCTCGCCCAATCTTTCTGCGAGGTTGAGAAGAGCTTCGTAGTTCTCTGTCTCTGTTGAATCAGGGCTTCCCAGTTCTGCCTGATTGTATGGAGAGAGTGGTGGATTTGAGAACATCGCCCTGTAAACAATGACAAATGTGAGTATACGTTTGTCCCTAGAAGCACATACTCTTTCCAAATGGGTTGGCATAATGCTATGTTCTACATGAACTTAGGAGGTACTCAATTTGAATCATGACCAGGACACTGGGCAGTCTGGAATCACAGCCAACAATTCTCATTAGAAGCAGCCATCTAATTTTAACCTTAATGCAACCATTGCCTTTATGAAGATTTATAATCCTTGGCTGAAACAGTAATATGATCCTGGTTTTCCATGGCATTCGTCTTTCCTCTAGGTAAATGACAGCTGCCTTCTAAATTCTTTCAACTCACCAGTCATACTACCATTAGATGCTAAAGTGTGTAGAACGTTCCTGGACTGTTACTACTGTAATTGCCACAGTTAAAGAAAATGAGAGGGGAGGCAAAGGTACCACTTCTGCAAGCCTATTGTATCAGTCTGCCATGTGACACCACACTGCGAACACTCACTCATTTTACATGAGTGCTTTTTTGAGTTCGTGTTTTGTTTTGTCTGTGATGGAAGGCAAAATCGAGAAATGTGTCTGCATCGAGTTTTGCGTGAAGCTTGGTAAAACCACTACCAAAACAATTAAAATGCTTTGCGAGGCTTTTGGAGAATATTCTTTAAGCTAGACAGCGGTTTCTGAATGGCATTCACGATTCAAGGCCAATGTGGGGCCGGTTGAAGATGACGAATGTTCAGGGCAACCGAACACTAGAAAATGACAAAAAAGATGAAAAATTTGAGAACTCATCCATGAAGACCATCACTGAAGAATCCATGAGCTTGAAGACATGACTGGGTTCAGTTATGGAGTTTTCCAGATCTTAACAGAAAATGTGAACGTGCTCCGCGGCACATAAACGTGCGTCTTGAGCCGAGAGAAGGCTAATGATGACCTAAATTTTATCTCTAGGATCATTATGGGTGACAAAAGTTGGATTTATGGTTATGAACCAGAAACAAAGTAACAATCATCACAGTGGATGAACTCACAATTACTGAGAGGGGGAGGGGGGGCATGGCAGGTCCAGAATTCAACAAAGGGCACATCCACGGGGAATCCCAAGTGGTATTCAACAGCATTAAGGAAAATGACTCCAACGGTACCTTTGAAGCTTGGAAATAGCAATGGGTTCACTGTATACATTCTCAAGGGGAGTATTCTCAAGAAGATGACAACCAAAATTAAGTTAAGTCAGCATTTATTTTTGACCCAGTCTGGGAACTTCGTATCTTAAGCATGTGTGCATGGATCATATCTCCAATTCAGGACGAGAATTTGTAAATATTTGAGAATCAGGTTTTCTTTATAAGATCAATTTCTTTTGTTGTGCTTACAATTTACACCACTAAGCAGCTTTTCACAGTACATTAAAGTGTACTGCTTATCCCTTCTTCAATGAATAATAATCATAGAATTGCTGTACTTAAAAGGAAAATAATTTTATGACCACACCCTCATTTGCTATAGGCAGCAAGAAGAGAAGAGAGCTTTCACTGACAAGCTGATTTGTGCTAATGTTGGCAACTACCTGCATAGTTTGTAACTACTTATCGGTAAGCAGTCATTTCAAATTCGATGAAGTATGAGACTGAAAATTGTTTGATGTGAGGCAATTCTTTCTTGATTTGATGCCAATAATTAGGGACCTGCATGTTTTAATGAATTCCTCCATTGCAGAAGAGATCATAGAACAACGACACTTAATTTCAGTTGCTAATGGAATTTACTGAATTTGCTGGTCACATGGGTAGTACTCCTACTTTGCACTGAGGAATTCTGGCAGGTTCAGATCTCGGTCTGGAGGCCAACTATCCTTGCTGAGGGTTAAATAGTTTTCCTCAGTCTCTCCAGCTGGAATAGTCTCAAATTGGGTCATGACAGTTTCCTTCCACATCCTTTTCAGATTTGTTACCTATCGTCCTAACAACCAATATTATACAATATCACCTACTAACAGCATTGTTAAATAAACCATAAACGAGTGAGAATTCTTATGAAGATTTCTGTTAATCACTTACAAGAAATGCACCAGGAACCCCGGATATGGAGCAGGGGTAGGTGGTAGAGGATTTCCTCGCCATCGACGAGTGCTGACGTGCCTACTTGGTGTGCTTGAATGTCTGTTGCGTGATGACATAAGGTCCAACTGGCTACCTCGTGCCTGCAAGTTCAAGCATATATTCATTTTTACTGATATCCATATCAATTCTTTAACAATGGTGAATAACAGCATGCAGAATCTGACCATCTGATGTCCCCGAACATCATCCATCCTATTTACTACAGAGATTTGTGTCCTCTTCTGGGAAGACTGTGAAATACATATCAGAAAGATGTACAAATATTTTGTTTCTGGATATTATCCATCATCCTGTTTTTTTTATCTAAAAACACCATCCTGGTTATATTTCACAACATAATATTTAGGAGTGTAGCCGCCCGCCGATGTACATCTGCCACGATTGACGCTCGAGCTTGAGCTCTTTATCTCAGGGATACAGGTGCTTCAGATATGGGAGTGGAACACACTTCGGCGTTAATAAATCAGGGATCTCCAGAACACACTGTATACTGAAGCCTTGATTTAAAATTTCATAGAGTAATTAATCTTTATATTATTCCTCCAAGCTAGCCACTTCGTCACACTTAACCTTTTGTACACCAATTTGCCCCCAGCTCACTGACCATACGCGCCACTCGCTAGCTACCCTCCTGTAACTCCCTTTTCAACTGTCTACCTCCGCTCCCTGTAAACAAGTTACAAGTTTCCCAGTGGGCATAAAACAAAACAAGAAAAATAACAAGAAAAAGCCAAGGGTCTAGCCCGACATCTGTCCTACATTCGTATTTTTCGAGATGTTCATCATAAACCTTTTTAGGTTTTCAAGGCACACAAGCAGGGAACCCAAGACCCCTCCTGGCCAGTCTCGCAGAAGGTCAGTTCATGGGTTTATGATACTAGGAGCAAATAGGCGACGTTAGGGACACTAGTGGCACCTAAGCCTATGGAGGACAATTGCTGAATTACAACTAGACGGTCCCAGGATGGTATCTTGCCAGAGGAGTCTCTCTCATGGTGAGAAACAATTCCTCAATTGGTCATGCCCTTAACCCGTTGCCGTGGTTCGTCGTGTATGTTTCGTCAGGGATTTAAATCCTCTGGGGGGGTTCGGCGTGTATGTTTCGTCCAGCTGCACACCTATGTTAGAACGCCCATAATAATTGATGGTTTTGCTGTAGATTGTTAGATTTTTCGCTGGCCTGTTGTCACAAGAACAGAGTATACTAAGCCAACGAGTTTAGCTGAGATAAGTCATCGTTACATATGCCTGTCTTGCAGCAAATTCGTGTTGCTTCTTGTAGCGGTTTCGTCACTCAATGGCGTATTTGCTTTGCTTGTGAAGTAATAAACACCAGAGACGTGATATTTACGATGTTGATAATATCATATTACCCTGAGCTGGCCACAGTAGCACATTCAATTGGAATTCTTAGAAGAGGGTTGTCCAAAATTTTATTCTCGTAAAATCGATTGCTTTCGCACAGTACATAGCACCCATTTCTTAGAAATACGCCACAATTTAAGGCAGAACACTGTGGTCACCCCCTGAGACGATACGGATGTGTGTGGGGGAGGGAAAAGTACTCATTATCGCTCCAGTTGACGCCATTTTATCGTACTGACCTTGGTGGTCGTTTCGAGAGCCAGCGCTGTGTTTAGACTAATGCTTCAAGGCGTCACCTGCTTACATAGCCGAGATACCGGGTGCTCATATTATAAGGCAAGGTTATAAAACCAACTTTTAAGATCATTTTAGTGAAAGTTTCATCCTTCAAGGCGTACCATTCTCTGCTCAAATACTAAATAACATGCTTCCATTGAAGATATAAAGGGGGTTCATATTATAAGGTAAGGTTATAAAACCACCTTTTAAGATCATTTTAGTGAAAGTTTCATGTTCCTATCTCATAGAATTTAAGAACAATGATGAATAAATAATTTTCGAGCAAAATTTAAATGGCCGGCTGAATATATTACCGCAGGAGCCGCGGCCGCGGAATTTAAATGACCACGTCAAAGGGTTAATTAAATAATTTTCGCGAGGGATATATGGTTACAGGAGTCTGGATTCTGTCTCCATCTTCAGGTAAAACCTACTCAGTTCGACCCAACTGATAGAGATAGTCATGAACTCTGGTCTGGACACAGGGACTAGCTCTATTGATTGGGCCCAAGTTTAAGTTGGGCGGTTTACCTTTGTCCCAGCATGCTGTTGGTTACAGAAAAAAGGCAGTATTATAACATGGACACCCATTTAATGTTTCTCAATTTAACGGTTTTCCTTGTTTAACATTTAATTTCACAAATCCCAAGTCAGAAACCTCAGTGTTAAATTTCCCCCACTTAAGATCCCCCTAAATTCAGCGTTCAAATCCGCTGCTCCAAAAACAAACCATAAAGGTGGCCTTCACTGTACATATTATGATTAAAGTTTTACTAAAATAGTAAAGGTGTGAAAATTTAAGTTCCTTACAACAATACTCACTTCTGAGAGGAAGATTGGGGGTGGTGATGATACCTGAGTCAAAGCAGCTGCTGATGGATGAGGGTGAGGGTGGTGGTGGAGAGAGGGATGGGAACTGGGGTGTAATGAGGGGTGAGCAGTGGGGTGGTGATGGTGATGGAATGCAGCTGCATTACTACGATGGTGCTGCTGCTCACCAAGGAGCTCCATATCAACCCCATCAGGTCTCTGTAACAGATACCCGTTTTTATACATGAGAAATGTGGGCATTTTCTGCAATAACAGCGTGATTTCAAGACGTGTATCACTTACATACAGCAAAGATGTTAACACAAAATGAAAATTACTATTGCTCTGTGTGGTCTAGTGCATTCTGGAGGAATCTCCTACCTCCATTTCCCTTATGACTGAGGCAATATGTTCCTCTTGAACACTGGTAAACCCATACATACCAGGCTGCATGGTATCACATCCTGATGCGACATTTGAAGTTATCAATGCAGCATCTGTGAATGCTACAGTCTCCTTGGAAGCGACGGCATGTTATCAGATGGATAATCGTGAATGTTTTGGAGTAACATGCTGTCTCCATCTTAGGGTCAGAATAATACAAAGGAAGTACATTCCTCCACAACGCCAGTAAACATCTAACAGATTACACACTGTCACATCCCAGAAAGAAATTTACATGTCAATGCAGTGATAACCTCAATCTTAACACAAAATGATTTGTGGTGATTGCACCGGTCACCAGACTGTGCTGCTGTACATACCTGAGGTTGCAGATGTTGATGCGGATGTGGATAGTGTGCGGTATGAACACGTGTTGGCGGTACTGACAGCGGATTCTGCTGAGGAGCAAATGTACTGGGTTGCGACTGTGCCAGGAATGGTGGATAAGACTGATGATGGTGGTGGTGGTGTGGCACGCAGTTCCCGAACTGAGGAACCTGCATGGTAAATCCGACAATGACAGGATGTTACAAAACATACAAACATGATGGACAATTTACAGTGCAAACGTGTATCTGAAAAGAAGTTTTGGGAAGAACTAATTGCCTACTTTCCTTCTATATGACATTCTTTTTCAAGCAATGACAAAAGGAAGACCATAAAAGCACTCTTTTCTTGTACAGTTTGTTGTGCTTTCAATATGGCGGTTTTCAGACTCACCTGGCAGGTAGGTGTGAACTGTGGACCAGCATAGAGTCCATGCAGCTGACAAGCAGTGCTGGTGCCAGCAGAACACACTGCAGACAAATGAGGTGGGGGAGGTGGCCCTGAGTACAGTGACAGAGCATGATGGTGATGGTGGGAAAGTGTCACTGGGATTGACACGGGCACCTGGCTAACTTCCATCACCACTGTGGTTGGCTGGTGTGACACTCCTGTTGGTGAGCTCTGCAGGAATGCTGCTGGGTGGTGCGAATGGTTCACAGGGTAGCCATCTTGGTTCCACACTGGGCCACACTCATGATAGCGCGCTCGTCTAATTGGAGGGCTAAAACAATGTAAATCAAATATGTTAGTACTAATTCAATCAAAGCATTAAACTCTATCTTCTTCAACATGTTTTCTAGCATCATTTCTGTTTTGCACAGATCAATGTGCACAAAGCCTCCAATCTCTTCTTCCTTCTCACAATCCTTCATTTTTGAGTCCTTGCAGATCTTTCCTCTCCTCCAATATTGGCCTGACTGTCTTGATCTGAGCTGCTTCTCTTCATCAAATTTTAATTCTAATGACCTTTTTGATATCCTTGCTATAGCCATTTTTTTACATGACTGAACAACTGTTAACTGTATCTCTTCCAAATGTATAAAAAATTTAGAATTCCAGCTTCTTTGCTAACACTCCACTTCTAATTCTCTTCTCACTTCTCCCTCAATACTTTTTAAGAAAATTATATCCATTACCTGGATTTTGTTTTTGAATCCCTTTGTAACAGTCCATGTACCACCATTACGTTTGCGCCAATTTAAAATACAATATTTAAAATAAATACAAACTGACAAATTTAAAGACAAATGGCATGAACCTGTTTTAACGCCTTTCCACTTCAATATTTTCTGCAACTTTATCCATAGCCCAATTCACTTCAGCTTTGCAACAAATATTAATTCAGAAACATTCCCAAATGGAAGGGGGGGGGGGGAAAGAATATAAAATTGTGTGCTTTCAACAGAGAAATATGAAAGAAGCCCTGGGCATCAGCTGAATCTTTACCTGACAGATGGCGGGAAATTATAGGTAAAGGACACAATGACATGATATCGACACAGCAGTAAGTACCTCATCATGCACCACATGTCAACATACTGTGAAACGCAGAAATGGAAAGATTTAGGAATTGAAAGCATTTCTGTCAGAGCAGTGACATTTAAGTTGCTGAACAGACGTTATCTGGGTAGGACAAGCTGGACATATTAAATGGGAAAAAGTATCCAAAGGGAGAATGGAAAGTGTGGACACAACAACACAACATATTCTGTAATAGTAGATGCCCTATTATCCAGAATTAAAGCATCTGGAATTCCCATGCAACATATAAGCTTCAGAGAGAACTTAAGATTATTCTAAATTATTTGAAGGGAAAAGTTATAGTGTGTGGGCTCATTTATCACACTATAATTTTCCCAGCTGTCACCAGCAGCATTGCCTATGGTACAGGATATGCGAATTTGTCCAAAATCGTTCACCCATCAATACCACACAATAGCTACAGCGAATATATGTTATTTAGGCTTTCTACTGGGTTTCTGCTTAAGATTTTGTCATGGAGCCAGCAGATCCATGTAACTGACAAGCCCCATTCACATATATGACAGACAACTGGTAGCTTACTTTGCGAATGCTGTTGTATTAGTGCAAGAAACAAAGTTAAAAAACATACAAAACAGATAAAATTACAGTTGCATACAAACATTTCATTTTTTAAAGAGGCAAACAAATACAAACTATTAACAAGAACACTGAATGCTTTTTCCAAATTCAATTTACTCTGGTGATTTCATTGTGTATATGGCTACAACATGTTACTATACTTCAATTATATATAATTTTCAAACCATTTATTGCTACAGTCATATTCAGATTTTATCCTGTATTTTAGTAACGAGAAAATTATTTCCTACAATGGATACAGGCCAGTATTCTCACCTCCCTCTGTTGCAAGTAGAAGGCTGGTGTCGAGGTGAACGTCTATGATTGGTCACTGCGTGGTCCCACAAACTGCGTGGATGTGGAGGTGGTGTGGGGGCTGCAGCAGATAATTCCAGGATCTGGTGATGTCCTCCCTGGGACACTCGGCGCCGCTTGCGGGGAGGGCTTTCACTCTGAGCAGGGATGCAAATATCTTTAATGTAAATACTATGTGAAGAAACCTAGTCATCATATTGAATGAGCTATCCCACACCATAAAATAAGATTAATTCTAATAGTAACCTATATTTCAGAGAAATAATAGCAGAGGCATTAGTCGTTAATTACAAATCAGGATTACCAAGTTGTTGGATTTTGTCCATCAACTTGTATTCTGAAAGGACACTCTGATAAAGAGTCTTCATAGCCATGTTGGGCCCATTTACATAACGCACCATTGTCAGAACACTTCAGAATAAATCACAATTTTTTTTAAACCTTCTGCCCCCAGTAATGATGAACATACGGCATACTCATGCTAGGATAATACCTCAATTAGGCCACATCCATATCCTTTCAAATCATTTCCAGTTCATCAATCGTCCTACCATTTGACATTATGGAGCCTAGTTTGTGAAAGCGCTGTAAAATAATGCCCAAAAATAATTCACTTACCTTCCTCCCGTCATCTTGGCTGGATGCCTGGTAAAAGCTTGGTGAATGCTGAATTTGTACTGGGCTCAATCGCAGCTCTGGTAAACAGAATTTGAATTCTGTAACATCTTATTTTATTATATCTGTACATATTCTATAAACTGTTTTGCAGTTTGTTGCAACTGAAAGGCACAATACTACTTTAATGGACGAATTTCTTGGGAGCTTTATAAACAAGTTCTACTAACTTTCAAACAACCAACAAGAATGTGATGTTCTGACAGCAGTGAGTGAAGAATACTATCTTCTGGACTGCAACACCATGTCAATGTGTTTGAAATAACTATCCATACTCATGTTTTCTATGTCCGATACCATTACTCTGAAATTACTGCATTTTTTATATTCAACTGATTATTTTATAAACAAACTACTTTTTATTAAGTAACTGTATTTATTTGTATAAAAACAGTTCAACTGCTTATGTAAACAAATTATTTTACCATGATTATACATAGCAAGTCTTACAAAGAAAATGAAGACAGTTTTTTGATGTAATTACGCATAAACTCCATTTACTGCACAAAATGCCATTCCCCCAGATGTACATCAATCCTTCACTGCTGTAGTCTGTACATGGCAAGCTAGCAGTTTCTGTCACATGTCGCTGTCCGATGTACATAGCCTGCACAGTGCAGCGGTAAGGTGCAGCTCATATTTTGAACTGTTTCTTTTTCACGTCCTGCATTGTTGAAGGGTTAAATAAGGATTTCACTGTACAAAATTTTACAATTTTTTCATTAGTTAAGAGAAGAAGATACACATGAATGAAAACCTTACCTCCTGCACTTCGGCGTGGGGAGAATTCCAAGCCGATCCCTCCTGAGTGAGGAAGTCCATCCATGTTGGTGTTCCCAATGTTTGTGGGGCTAAGACTCAGCAGGGACGCTGCTCGCAGAGGGCTCTCCTGTGCCACACAATCACAACTGTCAGCTTTATGGAAACTATACTTACCTTGCTGAAATCTCCCATTTATCGAGGAACAGAAAAGATGCAATTCTAAAGTTACAGGAGCTTACATAAATCAGAATTCTGCCGAGACACAAGTCAGATCCTCCAACTTCATGGAAGATGTCCAAACCTTATGGACATTTCTATATTATGATCTTCTAGGTTATGATACTGAATAATATGGCAGGTGGGTACAAATGGCAGAACATGTGCTTCCATTTTCAGGGTAGAACTGAGACAGGTGTGTTGGTGTAGCAGTCATGCTCTGGACTTTAATCCTGGCTGACACATAAGTTATCATGAGATGTTTCTTATGGTTTTCCTTAGTAACTTCAAGCAAATTCCAGGATAGTACCTTGATTAGGTCACAACCACATCCTTACAAAACCCTTTCAAATTATCCATCTACAACCCTACTACTTGACAGTACATTACACAGTCTAGCTACTGACAGCATTGGAGAATAAACCACAAGCAAAAAGATGAGTCTAGAAAGTGACTTGTTCTACAAATGATGTAGGTGGTGAGAAATGTGTCATGGAGAGCTGTGGCCTCTCAGAGTGGAGGATGGGGTCGCAGATGGACAAGCACTCTAGAACTGGATGAAGAAGGGTAACAGAGTTCTTTCCTGGGCCAAAAAATGGGGAAAGCCAAGCCAGGATTTGTTTTCTAAAAGATCCTTTTTGTGTCCCTTCAAGGTGTGAATGAGAGGTTTTGATGGCCTCTCCAGGGACTAACAAGACAATTCTTGCTGCTCTTTGAAAAGCACTGTCCTGTCCTCCTCCAAGTTGTGACTGGCTACCTCTGTCGTCCCTAACCTATTTCCTTCTCCACAAATTTCACCTGTGGCTACAAGTTCACTCAGCAGCCAGCACAGATTAGTTACCAATATGTTTAGAAATATATACTTGTAATTGTCCTGTGAAGTGCGCAAACAGTAGGATTTCTTAAATTCATTGTATGCCTCTCTGAAGTTACAGAAACATTTCTGAAACTGGCACTAATATACACTTCAGACAACCATGCTACTCTCAAATGCAGCAGGCCCTTGACAAAAAGTTGTTGACCTGATGAATAATCATAATAAATGTTCTTTTACAAAATAGCTGAGACTCAATCATTTATACACAGGAATATTCCGAATTTGGGAAAGATGTGAAAAGTGATCCCTACTTGCAAGGATATGTGACACAAGAACAAAACAAGACAGTAAACACTTACTTCCAAAGGCTTAAAGATTCTCTTAATATCTTCCAGACAACTACTCTGTATACAAATTTTATCTTGCATCATCATGGCTACTTTCATCACTGCCATTGCTAATCTCTATCTGTAACATCTCTAAAGGAACACCATGTCTTGAGTAGGCAATCATACTGATGAAAAGTCCTGCGTGTTCAGTAAGGTCTCTGCTATGGCAATTCTGATTCCGAGTACATGTTGAAAACAGACCCTAGTAACGTTCTGATGATGACATAATGATCTACATCCCTTCCTGAAGGTGATGCACCCCCAAAGATGTTTCAGACACAGTTTACGCTTGCTACCCTTACCAAAACTCATACAATTAATGCAGTTTCTATCGTTACTGTGATCACCAGACTCTGGTAGCATTTCCAGCTTTCACTCCCCCCTCAGATGTTCATCCTTCCAAAACATTCTTATTAATAACTACAGCAAATTAAAAATTACAAGTTTCGATTGCTAATGCCATTATATTTTGTACATAAATTATTGTTATTGTGAAATGGACGTACAGTCGGATTCACATTTTAAGATCAATTATTTTATTATAGTGTACTGTACTGTATTTTATTTTCATCCGTTTTGCTACATAGCAACACTTGGACAAGTCATTCAGCAACACAAGTTAACAAAACAAATATACAAAGTTACAAGCATACTACCAACATTTGTTAAAACCATAAGCAATATATAAATACAATAATTAAAAAAAATATACAAACTACTATATACAGCTCATGAATGGCTATGACAGCCAAACCTAAGTGCTTGCACCATCCACTTTTTTATTAAAAATAACAAATTAATTTATTGTATAAAAAGAATTGTTTCAATAAAACGGATTTTATGTCTTTTTTAAAAGGTGAAAAACCCACCGAGTTTTTTTATTTTGTTTGGCACCTTACTATACAATTCTATCCCCATATTTTTAAATAACGTAGTTCTGCAGAATTGAACATGAAAATCCTTGTTTATTCTTGTATTATAACTATGAATATTTATATTTTGGATCAAATCTGCTTTGTGCCTTTTTATGTAACCTCTAACATATACAAAGAAGTGACCATGAGGATAGCATAATCTTTAAAAAATTTGCCTGCATGACTCTTGTTTACCAAGTCCACTAATTATTCAAAGCACCCTCTTCTGCATTTTAAATACCTTTATACTATCACCTTCACCCCCCCAAAATATTATTCCATATCTCAATAACGATTGAAACTTTCCAAAATAAATACTTCTTAACCTATTTGGACTCAAAACTCCTCTTAGTGATTTAATTATGTAAGACGTTTTACTAAGTTTTGAACATAATGACTGGATGTGGGTATTCCATTTAAGGTTTTCTATGATATCTATATCTAAAAATCTCAGTTCTGATGAGTAAGCAATTGCCAAGTTATTACAGAGTATATGCAGTCTAACTACAAACATACTTTTACTAAGATGAAATGACATAGCAACTGTTTTTTTTAATATTTATTAAAAGGTTATTTACCTGAAACCATTTTTCAAGCTCTTTCATGATCTTATTTATTTTCTGTTGAGCTACATCTTTATCAATAACCAGTACATTAATATCGTCTGCAAACAATACCATTTCCGCACCTTGTACATTTAGTGGGAGATCATTTATATACAGAAGAAACAGCAGTGGTTCCAGAATTGGCCCTTGTGTTACTCCATGTACAGCGGCCTCCAAAGTCTAGGGGTAATGTTCCCACCTCATGACTCAAGGTACACGGGTTCAAACCCGGCGGAGGTCGTGGAATTTTTAAGGGCGGAAAAATTCAGGGAACAGGTCCTCCGGGAGGGACTTTAAGCCGTGGGTCCCATGTTGTAGATTTACGGCACGTAAAAGAGCATAATGTCTCTAGGAGACCTCTGAGCAAAATTAAGCAAGTTTCATGCTCAAGTAGTTTCCAATGCCTCTGGTAGATGGGGGAAGTATCGAGGTACCGAGGGCCGACCTCGTTGCTTGAACGGGGTTGATAGCAGTAGGTATTCTACCAGTCGCCATACCCTACCAGTACCGGTAGGGTATGGCGACTGGTAGAATATCAAAGGGGATATACAATAGACTATTAGTCACGGTGCATGGGGAAACCCACCCCCTTCAACAATAATAATAATACCCCATGTATTGTTTCTCTCAAGGGTGATATATACGTGGCGTGTTCAAAAAGTATCGAACCTTCTTTTTTCCCGTGTAAACCAATGAAGCGTGGGAGGCTCCCTTTGGTGGAGATGTGGAGGGGACATTCATGCGCAGTCGTGAATTTTTTCCCGCCCGCAGAAAGCGTCAGTTGCTGGCAGTCAGCCTATGAGTGAGGATGTGTAGTGAGCGCTCATCGGATTCCAGTAAGGCGTAAAATGACGGAACAACATGAGCAGCGATATCGCGTCAAATTTTGCCAAAAGCTTGGCGATACACAAGTGGAAACCATTCGCAAGATTCAACGGGCTTTCGGGGACGATGCCATGAGCAACTCACGGATAAAGGAGTGGTACAACTGCTTCAAAGATGGCCGCACATCAGTTGACAGCGAACCACGTTCAGGCAGACCCTCAACAAGCCGAAACAAGAATGTCATTGAGCAAGTGCGGACTTTGGTCATGGACGACCGTCGTATCACAGCCCGAGAACTTCATCACTTTCAATAAAAAAGGAATTCAACATGCCTGCCATTTTTTGTGGATTTTATGTTTCCTCACATCCATTCTTACACCAGTTATGTAGTCGCCCTGCCAAGAACTTCCAGTTTATTTATTTATTATTTGCCAAATTGCCTTTGTTTTGTTATGTGAACGTAACATAAACCTATCATTTTGTTTTCTTTTAGCTTCTGTTATAATATGATGGGGTACCCAAAAGAAACTGAACTAATTTTTTTGTGGGCAGAGATTTTGTAGTACCGCGTTTTGCCGCTATGAGCGCATAGAGCTAACATTTCTGAGTCGATAAGCCGACTACCGATGCTTCAGAAGGTAAGGACTAGTTTCGGCAGAGTTTACAGTGACAACTGTTTTGTGTGATCGTCGTTTTTGCAATGGCTGATTTTCGTGAACAGCGTGCGGCGGTGAAATTCTGCTTTTTGCTCGGGAAAAGTGGAACAGAAACTCTTGAAATGTTAAAAACTGCGTACGAGGACGATGCTATGGGGAAAACTCAAGTGTTTGAGCGGTTTTCCCGTTTCAAAAATGGTGAAATGTCAATTGATGACAAACCTTGTTCTGGTCGTCCTTCCACGGCCCGAACACATGAAAATGTTGAAAAAATTTGTGAAATCATCAAGGAAGATCAACGACGGACCACTGAAGAAATTGTGGAGCTGTCGGGAGTGACTTTGAGCTCAGTTCAGCGAATTTTGACAGAAGATCTGGGAATGAAAAGGGTGGCTGCGAAATTCGTGCCACGACTGCTGACTGCTGAACAAAAACAAGGTCGCGTGGAAGCATGCTGTGCTTTGAAAGAAGAGTCCCGAAATGATCAAAACTTTTTTTTTGTTTCCTCGAATGAAAAGAGACATCAAAGCAAAGTGTTTTGCTGATGTTGCTGAGGTGAAGGAAAAAACGATGGAGGCGCTGTCAAGCATCTCAAAAGATGAATTTAGACAATGTTTTGAAAAATGGAATAAAAGACTAGACAAGTGTATTAGTGCAAGTGGAGAGTACTTTGAAGGGGATTGAAGGTTTGTGCTTAAAATTTGAATAAATAAGTTTTAAAAAAAATAAGTTCGGTTTCTTTTGGGTACCCCCTCGTACTTTTATAGATTTTCTGATATCTAGTAATGTATTCTAATAAATCATTTGAAACATTTGTATTTTTCTTTAAAGTGTTTAAAAGGCTCATTTTCCGACTTGAAACCTTTATCCCCTGGGTAATCCATCTAATCTCATTACAGTTTTTCTTATAAACTGTCTCTAAAGGAAAATCTCTTTCAAAATAGTACAAAAATCTGTTCAGTATTGTAAGAGGTATTTACTTCATCATGTAAAAGAACATCTTCCCAGTATTCCATCTCAAGTAGATGGTTGTATTCTTCTATATTCCTACCTGAGAACTGTCGTCTTGTAATTTTTTTCCATCCTGTTTTAGGCTTATTTACCTTTATATGTAATATCTGTGTAAAATGATCTGAATACCCCAAATCTAACACTTCTGTTAAGTTTTTACAGTATAGCTTATCAGTTATCATAACATCTATTAATGATACTGAGTTTTTTGTGACCCTTGTTGGTGATGTAATTGTATTTATCACGTTATAAGTTTCTAAAAGATTCGGTAATGCACTAAGCTGTGCACTATCTTGCAAAAAAATTATATTCCAGTCACCACACAGAATTAATTTCATACTTTTCATTTGCACTTTTATAATCACTATTTCCAACTCATTCAAAAATGTATAAAAGTCACTATGTGGTGATCGATAAATACAAACAAAAATTAGCTTAAAATCCACTAGTTCCACTTCAGCCATCTCAAAATCATTTTCACTACCCATGCTTCTTAACTAACTTACTTCTCTTGCTTGTAAATCCTTATGTACCCAAATACATGAACCTCCACCATTTCTACTAATTTATAGTATCCAATATTTAATGTTCTCATTTGTTCATCATTTAGCCAATGTTCAGAGAAACGTAGGATATCTAGGTCTGTAAACTCTGTATTCAATAAAACAATTAACTCCAGTAACTTATTTCTCAGACTCTGAACATTATGGTGTAATATTAATAACTCATTTGATGTTGAAACCTGTCTCTTGCCAACCTCACTAGTCACTACTTTTATTTCTTGTTGAGGGCTACCCATAAAAAATCCACGCGTCTATTTGTAGGTAATCTACGAGGTCTTTTTGATTGAACCAAGTCTTGCACCATTTTATTTTGCCATTCCTCGCTTCTCCCACAGAATTCACCCTTTTCTTGACTTCTTTCCCTGGGTTTATTTTTTCCTTTCACCAATCCTTGTGGTTCCTTTGTTGGTGGAATATGAGTCCCTTCCTCTTCCATCCCTTTCATTATAAGTGGGTCAGACTTCTCCCTCAACATATCCACAATTTCTTTTACTATTCTTTTTTCTATCTGCTCCTTACCTCTTGAATTCATATGTAACCCATGTTTAGCGAACAAGTCCCTTTTGGACTCAACCTCTGTAACATGTGAATTTCAGAAAACCTTCATAATTTTTTTAACTTTCTGTTAAACCTTTTCACCTCATCATTTACACATGATTTTAGCTCCAAGTCATGTCTGTGTGGTACACTCATCACAGTTAACATTAGTCTGTTTGTGGTTATCCACAAATTTTTTTATTTGGTGAAGCCCTCTTTCTGTCTCGTTCTTTGCAACATCCCGTGCTCCTGTCCACACTACTACAACGTCTTTATATGTGAGTTTCCCTATATTTCTATTTATGGTATTTACTATTACTTCCATACTTGCTCCCAGTTTCACTATTCCTTGGACTTCAGAACCACTTTCCACATTCTGTTGCACTTCATTTGCACAATCTCTCGCATGACTATCCCCACTATTATGATCCTGTGTTGAGAACCTGAACTATTTATATTTCGGAGGTTCCTTTAAGAGCTTCTTACGAAGGGATTATTTTTATCACACTTTCCTCTCCTTCAGCACCTGCAGGTTGTATTTTAACACTGTATCTACTGCCACTGTTTAGAACTTTCTGTTATTAGATGTTACTAGACCATTCACTATCACTGAGATGTTATTAATTATCTGTCCATTTGCATCATGCTTGTATTTACTAACACTTGCTTGAATTTTACTTTTGTCCATATTATTTCGTACAGTTTTATTTGGTTTGAGATTTTCTTCCTTCACTGCTTCAGTTGATTTAATAGCCTCATTGAGGTTAAAAAGATTTTCAAAACGATTACGTGTTCTTGCATATGATTCCTCATGGTCTTTTAACTTATCTGTTATCTTCTTATGTTGATTTGTCTGTATTTGGATCCAGTTTCTTTCACTTGGAGATATTTGAGATCCATTTCCACTATTTTGTATTGCACTTTCAAATTTCTATAATTTTTAAGGCAGATTCCAATTCCATTGCGATCTTATTCACTTCCAACTTTAATCCTACACAACACTGACATTGTAATTCTGAGCATTCCATTTTTTCCGTAGTAATAACTGGATCATCACTCACTTCCAAAACCACACAGTCCGCCATCTTAGTTGTTATAATGTTACCTTGCACAGTGAGTGATACATTATATGTGGCCTATCAAGACGCATATGTATGTTTTATACTTTGAGATATCCAGTTGGATTTATATTGTATTATTAAATATCTTATTATTATTTATTATCTCGTATAAACGATGGATTCTATATCTATGTAAACAGATCCCTGGAAGACACATTAAATATGAATATGAATTCCTGTATGCGTCCCTCTCTTGCATGCTGTGCAAAGAGTGTATCATAATTAAGAACTGACTCAGTACTGATCAAAATATTTTCTGTTCTGAATGGCTGACATAAATTTCAAACCATTTCAGGTGGCTTGTGGTTCTCACGGACAAACGCCATACAAAACATCTCCAAGTGACACAGGAACTAAACACAGATGGCGATACAATAAGTACACTGAATATCAGCTCTCACCTGGCCGCACACGTTGATACGTAAAGGAGGTGACACCTGGCGTCTCTCCTGTATGCCACCACCCGCAACAGGATCACCAGGATATACTGTGTGTCCTTGAGTACTGGCACTGAGCTGGGTTCCTGGCCCGTGACCTGGCTTCGGGTAAACTTGGTGAGGCAAATACCCAGAGTCCTTTTGGGGTATGTTATTTCCTGTGAGGGGCAACGGTGGGCAATCTCTGAAATATAACCATAAATATTAACCTTGGTGTTTTTCTCTCAATCACACATCTTAATCTAACCCACACCACAGCTCAAGCAGTTGCCAAGCTTCCCACTGTGGTGGTCTGGGTTGGATCCCCGTCAGGTCATGTGGGATATGTGGTGAACGAGATGGGAGCAGTTTTCTCCAAGTACTTCAGTCTCCCTTACCATTTTCATTCAACCAATTGCTCCACATTCATTAATTATCCTATCAACAACACAATATGCATATAGGATATTGGTGGGAATGCCAGAAGGAAAGAGACCACTAGGAAGATCATCAACACAATTATTGTTCGGATACTGAGTCTTTAAATAACCAACTTAAAAGAAAAACCTTAATCTGGATGTCACATTAAATGGGGGAGAAAAAAAAAGACTGTTCAAAAACAATTTGTACTGACATCGTCTACCATGAAGATAGAAGCACCAGCTTTCTCTGAAATGTTTGTACCTACCTATCAGACCACATAGCATCACATCATAGATGAAATGTAATGTTAATTTACAATCTGTAATGCCTCAAAGATAACAAAGACCTGTAATTTCATGTGAATCTGCAAAATGATTGTTCTGTATTCAGTTTGTGATTGGTGGGAGAAGTCTGAGATTATAGTTAATAGTTAACAATCTTATATTTCAGTCACTAAGATGTAATACACACCCAGTAGTGAAGCATGGTTCGTACGGCCCAAAGTCCTTTGGATATGAAACGTGATTCACCAGCCAGCGTGATTGGTGGTTTGGTCGACTTGAGTGACTTGAAGACACGTGACGAGTAAATTGTGCTGAATTCCTCACTGATGAAGAACGGTTATTTGAACTCATTCCTACCAACATAAATAACCATAATAAAATACATACAAAATATAAATCCTCAGGGAAGCTGCTTAAATATTTATGAAGCTCTGAAGTATTTTTATTTAAGACCTTCATCTTTAAGTGAAATATGGAAAACAATGTAATGCTTGGATAAAAATTTTATGATTTTCTATGAGTTCACAATGGAAAAGTCTTGACACAGTATATCTAATGTAGTGATAAAAGAAAATTGTACACTTCATTCTTACACCCACAGGAATTACAGTGAGATCTTATGTGAATGTGCACTCTGGTGAAGTGTTGGGACACTTTTCTGTCAAGTCAGGCTAACCCATTATGCACAAATTTTGATTCAGAGAAGCGCTGGTCTGGAAAACTCACTGTAAGAGATCTGACAATAAAGTTCATGAACTCACCACCGTGTGCTTGCTGTGGCAGCAGTGGACAGAAACCGCAGTTACGGTTTAATGACATTGGTGTATCAGCATTTCACAGCTGTGTTGATCTATGGCAGTCTCTTTCTGAGTGGCATCTATTATGGTCTCAGTGTGTTTGGTGTGCTGTCGTGAGAATGCCGAAGTTTGTGAAGGAGTCTTTAGCTAGTAAACAAATAACTGTGCTGGAACACCCTCCCCATTCACTGTATCTAGCCCCCAGGGACTTCTTTCTGTCCCCAAAGATAAAGGAAATATTGAAAGGAAGGCATTTTGATGACAGTGATGACATCAGCTCTGAAGACCATGCCACAAAACCAGTTCCAAAATTGTATTGAAGGGTGGGCTATGCACTAGCATCGGTGCATAGCTTCCCAAGGGGAGTATTTTGAAGGTGATAACAGTGATATTCAGCAATGAGGTATGTAGCAATTCTGCCGCGATGAGTTCGTGAGTGAACTTTATTGTCAGACCTTGTACATCACCACTAGGACATGCAACAAATATATCTTTTCAGAAAACACTTTCCTGATATGGTCATCACCACAGGAGCTACAATATCTCAAGTCAGTATAGCAACTTGATTGCAAGGCTGGACAATGGGCTTAATTTCTGGTGATCCAGCCCACAATGTAGCCATTATATCAACTATGCCAGCTCTTTCATCTTTGTGGCAGAAGAGCTATTCCTTGGTATATTTCACAGAAGGTGTTACACTTAAACTTACTAGTGTGAGAAACATTTCCCAAGTTATAAAGTACTAACAATGGAGAAGCTGACTCAGGTAGTAATGCCTCTAATTTGTATTTGGGAGGTGCCTGGTTTGAATCAGGGCCAGGACACTGTTCTGATTTGATTTTATTAAGGCCCACCATGCAAATGCTATGACAGTACTTTATATTAAGCCACAACTGCTTCCTTCTGAATCAAATTCATTATCATCTGGTCACTGAACACTATATAGTCTAAGTTACTATGAATGTCATTAAAAAAAATGGCTATATTTATAAAAGAACAACAAAATAATCAGTTCACGTATATTTTCAAATAACGATATAACAGAAATTTTGCTTGATTTCTGTTATATAGTGGCCAAATAAAAATTTAATTACTTACATAAATTATGATATTGCCAATCATATTTAATGCAATTAATTAGTGACTCAGAATTGCACTGGGGAATGCAGACCATAACAAGCCCTTATTATAAAACAAACCATCGGTTAATGGTTAGCATGACTGCCAAAATTTAATTTAATTGATGCAAGTAAGGTGGCTGGTCTAGAAGTAAACACAGAGAAAACTAAGTACACTTGTTCGTCGACTTACGACCACAAAAAAAATGAAAAATAAAAGATTATTAGAATGCACGTTTTTAAAAATAAATTATAAAGATGATAAAAAGATTAGAAAGGTTAAAAAAATACTGTTAATAAATATATGGGCAACATATGACCACACTGACTTACGAACTGTCAGTCAGAATGGAAATCGGTCGTAATTCGATGACCAAGTGTATATGTTGCTGTCTCGTCACCAAAATGCAGGGCAAAATCACGACATAACGACAGGAAACAGATGTTTTGAAAATGTGGCACAGTTCAAATACTTGGGAACGATGATAACAAATCAAAACCTGACTCAGGAGGAAATTAAGAGGCGACCGAACTTGGGTAATGCTTGCTACCATTCGGTCCAGAACCTTTTGTTGTCTCGTCTGCTGTCCAGAAACATAAAGATAAGAATATACAAAACTATAATTTTTCCTGTGGTTCTGTATGGGTGTGAAACTTGGTCTCTGACATTAAGGGAGAAACACAGACTGAGGGTGTTGAGGAGAATATTTGGACTGAAGAGGGATGCAGTGACAGGAGGTTGTAGTAAATTGCATGAGGAGGAGCTTCATAATTTGTACACTTCACCAAGTATAATTAGAATGATCAAGTCAAGCAGGATGAGATGGGCATGTAGCACGAATTGGGCAAAGAGGTATGCATCCAGGATATTGGTGGGAAATCCAGAAGGAAAGAACCACTAGGAAGCCCAAGACCAAGGTGGGTGAACAATATTAAAATGGATCTTAGAGAGAAACAGGACAGGGTGGCATGGATTGGATTGATCTGGCTAGGGACAGGGACCAGTGGAGGGCTCTTGTGAACATGGTATAGAACCTTCGGGTTCCATAAAATGCTGGGAAATTCTTGACTAGCTGCAGATTTGGCTTCTCCTCAAGAAGGGCTCAGCTCCATAAGTGAGTAATGACAGCCAAAAGTCAGTTAATTACAGTGCCACAGCTCAGGCGGTTAGATGCTGGCTTCTCATCACAGACTCAGGTTTAATCCTGCATGACTTCAAATGAGATTCATTACTGAAGAAGCAACACTGAAGCAGATTTCTGAGTTTCCTAGGCTTCCCTCTGCCGAACACTGAACCATTCCTCTATACACACCTCTCACATCCTCTATCTTTTTAAGTTGGGTGCTTCATTTCTGAACAAGTAAAAGTAAGTAAGGGTATCCTTATAACAGGCCGTGGAGGCCCATAGGGTTGTGAGATGTTGAGGCTCCCATATTTTCTCGACAATCAGCTCACAGATGGCGGCAAGGTTGTCAGCTCTACGCACCGGCCACCCTTTACCCACAAGAATATTCCTGGTACTCATTTCTGTTAGAGGCTGAGTTGACTCCAGGACCGGTCAGTAGCATCGTTTTAAAAAAAAAATTGAAATTCGCTTAGTGGGGGGTGGAGTCCAACTGGGTCCACTCGGCACGGTGGCCACTGATTGGCCTACTGTACCTGCCCCTGGATGATTATGATGATGGAGAATTTGGTGGAATGAAGATTGGCAGGGGAACCTGAAGTGCTCGGAGAAAACTTGCCCTAGCACCACTTTGTCCACCACAAATCCCACTTGACCAGACCCGGGATCGAACCTGGGCAGCTGCAGTGGGAAGCCAGCGACTAACAGCTTGAGCTATGGCATGGCCCTGGCTTATGGCATAGTGCCTCAACCAACTACGCTACCGCGTGCCCCCATTTCCGACCTAGAACCTGTCTAATTACATGGTAATGAAATATTTTTAGGTACCAGCAATCATATTTATGTGTTAAATAATTAGTAAATAACAGTTCAGAAAAGAAAAGGTGGAACATGGATTATATGATTTTTTTGCATATAGTGAGCCACTGCAAAGTTGACAATATGGCTGCTGATTGACAATTACTTATATGCAGTAGTATCAGCACTGGGAAACTACTAAACTTTACTGTAATGTGGTAGAGATAATAATGATAATGGTAAAGTTGTGCTTATGCTTAATTAATTAAGCACCATGCCCTGAAGACATATGGGGGGAGTGGAGGTTAATGTCCACATATTCTTAATCTTGGCACCAAATGGTCGTGAGTTGATGGTTTCTTGCCCTAGCCACTTTACCTCCTGAGGATACAAACTATAGCACTTATTAGTTAGCGAGATGAGTGGGCCCTGGAGCCAGTCTGGATGTGATGGAGATGAGAACACCTCTGTCCATTGGACCCTAATTTCCTGGTCATCCAAATGGTAGCCTACAATAATGGAGCCATCCTGGCTTCCAGTAGAACTTAAAAGCTTCCCTGGCTAATATCAATAAGCAAACTGTGGTAAGGACTGAGACAAATTACTGCTCGAATTCCACATGTCATAACACTTAACTCCCTTAATACTTAGAATTCAATAATTTCCTAGGTGCCTGAAACTTATTAACAAATGAGTGAAGTAACTTTGCAACTCTTCCTCCAAGCTTAGAGGTCTATTTGTGAAAACAAGACTTGGAGCTTCATACTAAAATTTACCTCCAACAAGACCATAAGGTTAGGATTTGGGTTTAATTTTTAAAAGGATAGAATTTTTATTTCTTACTGAAAACTAATGCCTGATGGTGGCCTTTTGAAGGCCAAAACATGTAGCAAAAGTATTTCCTAGAGCTACTTGAACGTATTATTGAGTGTTGTGTTGTGATGGTTTTCAGTAAGAAATAATATATCATACACAAGAGGATGCATTCAGTAAAAATGGCTGAACTCTGAGAAGGTTAAGCTGTTTTTGTTTTTAAAAGGATACTGCCTTTGGTTCAGTTTTCAAAAGTTAGGCTGTTCGTTTTGTTTTAAAAGGATTCTGCCTTTGGTTCAGTTTTGAAAAAGTTAGGCTTTTGGTTTTGTTTTTAAAAGGATGATAGCTTTGGTTGTTTTGAAAAAAATTGCGCTTTTGGTTTTGTTTTTAATACGTTAGGGCCTTTGGCTGAATTTTGATAAAGTTTGACTTGTGGTTTTGTTTTTTACATGTTACATCTTTAGTTCCATTTTGAAAATGTTAGGCTTCTGATTTTGTTTTCAAAAATAAATATTTAAATCTTGGGCACACTGTAGTGTAGTTGGTTGAGGCATTATGCTACAAGCTGGAAGATTGTGGGTTCAATTCCCAACTAGGTAACTGGACTTCTCAACTGACTCAATACTTCCAGCAGCACTATGGCCCTTGGGTCGACTCAGCCTCGATCAGAAATGAGCACCAGGAATCTTCCTTGGGGTAAAGG